TTTTTCTAAATAAATATTAGAATTATTTATCAAAATCCGAACTTTTTGTATCTTTAGTTATCAACTTTTGACAACTTGGCGCTAAAATTAATTTCATCTTTCACACTTGGGTTTTCTTACTATCCATCTATTCTCCCAAAAATTACCCACTTCCCTCGTGCTAAAAGTGAAATACCTCAAGTATTGTAATTGTTGTGTAGTGGTGTCACTATCAAATAAAAGCCAGTGAACGCGTCAGTCTAGTTGGATCATAATAGCGGGGCTAGTCACTGATCTCCGTCTGTTCCAGCTCCTTCCACCTTCACCTACATTGTTCATTTCTAAATCGGATAAACTGTTATTCTTGTGCACATCAACATGGGACAACTCTCGGACATAACCAGACAACCTCCGGTTGTAACAGTAATAACAAAAAAATTTTTGCCTGTATCGCTGAAATCAATGTTTTTGGCCAATACTGCACACTTTTAATCTTGGGGTTGTTCTTGGTTATAAAAACTTTTCAGTGTTTCACAACTCTAAAAAATATAATTTAATTTTTTTTTGAGTTTTTCTTTTCTTCAAAAGTATTTTTTAAATAAATACTAATTTATTTGTCAAAACGATTAAATTTGAGACAATAAATAAAGACAAATATTTTTTAGGAAAACAAGACTGGCTATCTTGTAGCAAATTTCAAAGGCTTTCGAATAGACACAAAATGAAAATTGAACACATCCATAAGGGAGTTAAATTATTGGCTAAAACCCTTATCCCGCACATATTTTTCTCCCCCGACCCGAAACAATTCGAAACCCCCATATCCCGACACATCCGCCCCCGATCGTTCAGGGTGCAACTCTAGTAAAAAAATTTAAAAAATATATTTACATATAAATTAAAAAATACATATATTTGTTTATGCTAATTTTTATTTTTGTTTGCTAATTTTTATTTTGAAATTTAAATGTCTAATGCTATTTATTACATAATAAAAATATTGTTTTCTAAAGCATGTGAATGCCCTTTTAAAATAAAAATTTACTTAAAGTGCATTTTTATGTTTATTTCAAAATTAATAATATTTTGTCTAAAATATTAACATAAATATATGTAAATTTTAATTATTTTTACTATTTAAAAATTTATTTATTTCTCTAAATATATTTTTAATTATTCTCCCGAAAACAATTAATTAAATGTCTTTAAAAAATTTTTCTTTAATTATTTATTTAATAATATTTATAATAAATAATTTAACATTTTCGGCGCCAAATAATTCCGATAATTCTTGGAATAGTGATTATTGTAATTTTTTAAAATTAAAAAATATTTTTCTTAAAATTTAAATAAATTAAGCATTAAGTGAAGATTGTAGTTCTTCAAATTCTTCTTTAAATGAAATAAAAAATAAAAAGGTTAGAGGAGGAGGAGGTAAAAGAAAATTGGATGATTTTACTCAAAATAATTCTAAAAAAGAAAATGATTATCAAAAGTAAATTTAAAAAAATATTAAAAAAAATTTTTTTAATTACAAACAAATTTAGGTATGAGAAAAAGAAACAGGACGAAATTTATAAAATTCAAAATTATTTTTTTCCAAATGAAAATTTAAAATTGAAAAGGAAAGAATATTTACATATAAACTCACAAAAAGAAATTCTGAAGTATTTTGAAAATAATAATTGGAAAATGATGGAAGCTTTGAATAATTATAAAAATAATTTCAATAAAAATTTAGATAGTATAGAGGTTATTAATTTAAATAAGATATACCTATTTAATTACTTAGGACTGAAATATGGGCCGAGATACCCCCTACAAATCGAAGAACCTTAGGGAGGACGGGAGATCTTCCCCAGCGTTGGAATAACACTTTGGTATTCCAACAGCTTTTGGAGGTTTGGCATTTCAAGCTTTTGGCATTATAAAACGTGCCGAAAATTATACGTACAACATCCGAAATTTTTCTGCGGATCTGATTGAGAGTATAGTAGTACTAGCATAAAACGGATTTATTTTAAATATTAGGAGCCAATACTTCAAGGCTTTTGCGTTCTTTTTTTATTTGGAGGAATAAAAGTATATAATATAGCAACACATTTTAAAGTAAAATTTAATATTGTTAGAAAAATACTTCACAGAAGAAAAGTAAATTTAAATCAAAGGTTTTTAAATTTTATTAAAGTAATTTTTATAAGTAACTAAATATTCTAATAGAAGCCCTGGGCATTTATGCTTCAATGGGTACCATTGAGAAGGCTTCTATTGGAGATCGTGGGAGTATTCTGCAACTCCCACCAAGGAGATCGTGGGAGTTGCAGGATAATATGGAGATCATGAGAGATGCCTTGAGATGCAGCAACTTAATAATCGTTTAAAATTAAAATAGTTTTTTTTAATTTCAGTCAAGACTTTTCAAAAATTCCTATTAAAGAAATTAAAAAAATATTAATTGAAAAAATGGAAGAAAAATGTGGTAAAGATAAATGGGAAATTAATGGAAATATTTATTTTGGACCTTTTCAAGGAAAAAATTTTTATAAAAAATTATTTGGAATGATAAAAGAAATTAAAGAAAAAATTGAAGAAGAAAATATTTTTAATTGTTTAAATTTAATTGAAGAAAATGAAAATTATAAAAAATTAATTAATATACCTGAAAATCCAAAAGAAAAATTTGATTTGTTTTTACAAAAATATAAAATTATTATTTGGGATTTTCAACGTGAAATGAAAGAAAGCTTTAGTTGTATGTTTATTTACAGAGCTTTCCTCCGAACATAGGAAATAAAGGATAAATCAATCAATCAGGATAAATCCCTTCCAATCTTTCGATATTTTCTGGGATAGGTTCAGTTGTTTTACTGGGTCCAGTTGAACACCTCCAAATCCCCAGATGTCATAGATATGCATCATATCCTTCCTGATCTGTAAAATCTTCTGATATCCCATCACATCCAGATAAATACCCTAATCCTTCCAACTCGTTCGATATACGTCTCAATCATTCCTAATCTTAATAATAGTTAGGTCCCAATTGAGGTTACAGGAAATTTTTCTTGATTATGCGGGATCGAAGTTTTAAGCCAGATCGAAAGTAGAAAAATTAAAATACACTCTGTTAACTAATGATACGCACCCCCTATTTTTCTGTATTTTCAAGCTGAAATTGCGAAGTGACTTTATAGTTTTTTGTGTATTAGATCTACAAGTTAGAAGCCATCTATTATCACAAAAATTTTAAATTTAAGAATTTCCCTTCAAGACTTAAGAACATTCTTATAAATAAATACTGTTAACTAATTATACGCACCCCCCTTCTAAAATTTTTATTTATCAATGAAAAAATCTACAAAAATTTATCTGATCATATCTATAAATATAGATAGGAAATACAAAAGAAACGAAGTTTTAATGCGATTCCTTCATTGAGATATCAGAACTCGAAAATCCATAAGTCTGAAAAAAAATTCTTAAATTTAAAATTTTTTTGATAATAGGTGGCTTTTAACATACAAATTTAATATCAAAAAACTAGAAAGCCAAATTCCAATTTGGGTTTGAAAAATCCAAAAAATAGGGGGTGCGTATAATTAGTTAACAGAGTGTATTTAATAAAAATTTTCTAGTATATAATAGAAATTTTGTGCGCAATAAAGAGGAAACTTTAAACAAAATTAGTGTATTTTTTCAATTCCGAGGATTTCTTGAATTAATTAAATCAATGTCCAAATATAATTATTTAAATATTAAAGAAGAAAATAAAAATATTGTGACAGATTTTATTAAAATTTTAGAAGAATGTAATGAAAAACATGAAGAATGTTATTCTATTAAATTAAATAAAAAATATTTAAATGAAAAAATTGAAGAGAAAATAAAAATAAAAATTGATGAATTTATTAAAAATTATATTTTTGAAGAATTGAAAGTTAAAGTTGGACATGCTAATAAATAATTTGGACATAAGACGCGATATAGAAATGAAAAAATTTTTACACTAAATTATTAAAAATTATATTCTATGTACTAAATTAAATAAAAAATTGACTCTTGTTTGCCTAAAAAAATTTTGTTGTCTTGGATTAAGTCATGTATTGGGTACACTGTCAGAAAATTATAAGCACCCCTTAAGTTTCAGCATTAGGGGCCGTTCGAAAAATCTACAAAAATTCAGGTAAGCATATTTAGTGATGTGAATTGAAAATACAAAAGACGCAAAGTTCTAAAATAAGCCCTACATCGAGATACAGAAACTCGGAAATCAACGTAAAACCGAGGTAACCGTCTCTAAAAACACATCTTGTAGCAGATTTAATAGGCTTTCAGAAAGGTATAGAATAAAAATTAAATGTAGCTTATTAGGCTTACATTTTAAATTTAATAATGTTTTTAGGGAGTGCTTATAATTTTCTGACAGAGTGTTTTAGCATTCCATCGATCCGGCTACGGCATTTTCAACGATGGCTCCGTTTCATCTCCGTGGTTTTCCAATTCTCTCCTCCGGCTGCAGAATTGGTGATTTTTGGAGCGGCACCATTTAAAGTTTATTTTTGAAGCGTTTGAGTCCAATTTTCCTTTTTCTCCACACTGCTGTGCCTTTCTTTTCTCTATTTAAATTATAGACTTTCAATCTCGACCGAAATTTCGATTTTCAACGTTTTTTCATAAAATTTCGATTTCGATAATTTTAGTTTTTTTGAAAAATTGCATTATCTTTTTTCTTAATATTTTATTCCTGCGGCGCCAAAAAACTTTTTCAAAATTCATATATTAATAAAAAATTCAATGTGTAGGGTTGTCAGATGGGAATTTAGAAGGACGAGAGATTTTTATGAAAAATTGTATTCAAAAAAAGTTCAATTTTCAGAATTACAAATTTAGTGAAAGGAAAAAAATTGATCATTAAAGAATGTTAAATAAAAAAGGAAAGAATAAAATTAAAAAAAATGTCTCAGGCATTTTCATTCATCTTGCGCCCGCCCCTGATTTTCGCTTTTTCTGATGCAAATATAACTTCAAGTTTTGCAACCAAGACAAAGATTAACAAGTGCTTCAGGCATTGAGTTATGGAAATAACCCCTATCAGTCACATAAGCCAGATAATTTAGAAAAAGACAATGATTGTTTCCACAGTTGAAGCAAAATTCAACTAAATGAAACAATTCTGCATATCTTCTAGCACCTGGCAATGGTCCATAGCGACTCTGAAATAAAATATTTTAAAAAATTAAATGCCGAGCCAGAATTTATTGGCAAGGAGTTAGATAAAAAACGTAAATCTAGCCGACATAAAAATGAGTCCTGATTTCGGTAATCGTGTCTGATAGCCGTTGGTCTTTACAGTTAGTCCCATAAATGTCAGAAACTTCCATATTCACCCAAGTTTTTTATAAACAATTTAGAACACCTGTAACATTTTCATCAACATATCAGAATATTTCTCTGCCTCAGTTAGTAATAATTGTCGGCCATACTGACTTAAACCAGATGAGGCAAAATGTGAAAAAATTATAGCGCGAAGGAGAACAAATTCTTCTTTGCTTAGTTGTAGTCTATTGAATGGCCCCATAGAATTGTCAAATAATTTTTTGATAAATTTGTTTATCCTAATTAAAAATTAAGGATAAAATTCATCAAAAAATTAAATTTACGTCATGTCTTCTTTGTAAAAATTTGTATTGAAAACATCTTTGATTGGATATCCATTCGGAAAAACAACTGTTTCGGATAACATTCTACTGCAATAATACCCAAAATGTAGTGCTAAAGTCGGCATAGTGATTGTTGCAATTAGACAAATCTTGATAATAACAATTAGGTATAATACATATTGTCGAATCTAGATGTTCAACAATTCACTAAACTGGGGGATGGGCAATCTAGATGGTCAATTTTTTGGCCTGTTTAGGTTTTACTATATCGAAAACACAAGTAAAAATACTCTAGAAACAATACACTATATTATAGCATATTAAGAGTTATTAATAACTTTAAAACTTGAGTTGGAAAAAATCTTGGTAGATCTCGGGGTCTGGGTTTGTCGGGGTAAAACCTTTTGGGGACGAGATTGACCAAGTCACCTTGTCAGATAAATCCAATTTTTCGAAAAAAGGCATGGTTCTTGCAGTATCAACAATTATAAGCAACACATCCGTAAAAGGTTTTGGTAGCTTAGAAAAGGCAATAAATCCTTCAATGGGAGCATGAACAGATTTTGAATTTTTGTGCACTCCAAGCTTTAAATTTATAAAAAAATTTGTTTTGTTTTTTTAATTCCAACAAACATTTTCGTGTTTCATAGCGATTAAATTTTCTTTACGCTCAAGCAATGAAGCAAGAGAATTACACGAAGAATTGTAATGGCATTCATCAATCCCTGAATCTCTAGTACGGTAGACACTTTGCTCCACAGTTAAGAGATATTCAAGAAATTGTTTGTTTTGAGCAGCGAGCATTGAATTTTGCTAGAATATTATAAAAATCAGAAAGTTTTTGAAAATCTTTGAAAATCGAAATAGAAGCAATCCAACTAAATGTATTGCTCCAAAAGATGGACTTTGATGGTTAAAATGAACATCGTTTCATGCCAAAAAAGCAGTTAAATTGAGAGTAAAAGAGCTAGGCAAAATGAGATTTGAATATAAGTTCCCCGTATTTGAACAAGGTAAGAGGAACGTGAACAGTGTGAGGCAGTCTAAATATGTACGAGAACGGCCTAATAAACAAAATCTACCAAATCAACAAAATTCACTTCTTCACCAGCACAATTATTAGATTTTCCTTGAACATATTTTCCTTTACTAGCAAGTTCTCTACGTTTATTTTGAATCATTGTTTGTATTTCCAAAACCTTTTCGGGTTGCCTCCCTTTTGTTGTTTGAATATACATTCCTTTTAATATGCATTTATCGAAACGGCAACTTTTGCAGACATTTATATCTTTAATTAGTTTTTTTAAATAATATTCAGTTTACTTATTAAATGAAAAAAATTATATATGTGGTCCGAAAAATTTATATATGGTCGTTTCAGGTATTCTCAGATTCAGCTCTCTTTGTTGTAACAAAAAAGAGATCTTTAGTGCACATCCATCGTCTTTTTATCAGTGGCTGAATCCTGCTGAAAGATCTAGTCCCTACGCCAAAAGTAGCCCTCTCTTGCCACCTTGTATGTGTAAGAAAGGCTTACACTAACAAATACAGATATCCTAAAATCTCTACAGTCTAAAATACGAAAATCATTAACATTCCTTCACCCAATATACCTAAATCCATTAATTATTATAAAAATATTACTGTAAGACAGATTACAGTTCCCATCTTTTTCACATTTATATTTGTTTTTTGAAGTAATACAACGGTGAAAAAAGTGTTTACAGCCTGAAAACAATATCTATATTAATCCAAACTTCAAACATTTAAATCTACCATCACAACAAATTACTCCATAAAAGAAATATCCACTAGCCATACGTTCACAGATACTACATTCTTTTGGAGTTGGGTTAAGGTTGCGTTTAGTTTTTGTTGACAGTTTTTGAATTTTTAAATTTGCACGTCCATCCTCTTCAACTTGTTGATTTTCAACTTTAATTTCTTCATTGTTCATGCCAATATCAATTAAATCTTCCAAATTTTCAGGATTCTCATTTTCGACTATTTCATTTTTTGTTTCATTGTTAGAATTTGTAAATGACATTTGGGTAGATTGAAATTGAATTTGGTAATAAATTAAATTTAATGTCCTGCCCAAACAATTTAATTAACCATTAAATTTATTTAATAAAGATACAGTTGCCTAGCATTTAACGGTTGCCTGACAGGAATTATGAGAAGAAAAAGAGAGTCTTTTCACCTTAATAGGGTTGTTGGCTCAGAAATTCTGAGCCAAATTTCCAAGTTCCAAGAAACGACAACTCTTTTCTCAAACTAGAAAGTTCCAGGGTTCGATTCACCCCGATTGCGTAAATCTAATTGATCGATAATGTCCAAATAGATATTCTAATTTACTTTAGCACATCTATTAGAAGCTTATTAATGATATCCTTTTTAAAATAAGCATTCAAGGCTTATTTTAGGGCAATAAAGAATTCATAATAAAAATTATATGCCAAAGCTAAAGCTTAAACGTTAATTTTTTGGAATAAAGGAAATAATTTATTTAACAAATTTTTTAATTAAAAAATATAAATGTTAAATTTTAAATTGATTTAAATATAAATGATATAAAATCATTAAAATAAAATAGTTAAATGTTTGTTCATCTTGTCAGATTTATGCTTTACGAGAAAAATTTAATAAAAGACATTAAATACTTTTGTGTATAAAATGACGGAAAGCTATTAAAATATATTTCCAACCCTTTAAGTATAGCTTTAAATTTATATTTTTGGCTTATTTGAAGGCCCTTCAAAGTTGGAATAATGTAAAAATATTTTAATTTATAAGGAAAACCGGGGAATTTTTGAGGCTGTATTGAGGTAACTAATGATCCCAATCCCGTTGCGGGATCTTAACCCAAGAATTCTTTGCCTTTTATCGGCTAGCATTGGAAATTATGGTTTTGAGAAGCAATGCCTCCTTTTGGTGATGTGGAAAGTGACATCCTCGATCCTTTATTATTTGTTGCCTGAATCAATGGCCCTCCTTATAAATAAACTGTAAATATTTCCTTTAAAGGTTTTGAAACACGGAGCTATCACAAAGCCTTTAAGGTAAATCAAAACTTTGATCGTCCCATAATTGAATAATTAATTTTCTTTCAGGTAAGTTAAACGAAGCTTTAATCACCTCATTAAGAACAAAATTTAATAAAAGCTTTGACTTTCGTTTACCCAATACTTAATATTTCAGAAATATTTAAATTTAAAATAAAAAATGAAAGAAATTTTTAGCAAAACTAAAATTCCCTGTCAATTTATTAACATAAAATACTGCCCGCGATAGCTCAATAAAATTACTCACAAGCTATGAAATGCAATAATTTTAAAATTTAAACCAGGGAAAGATTAAATCTCAAGAATTAATTCTTTTCACGAGAACCAAGAAAAATTCGTAACCTCCTAAATAAACATTAAAAAATGCAAGAAATCTTTATGTTTTTGAGTAATTTTCCTCTAAGTTAATGTCCGCGTTATTTTTGGTTAGCTTATATCTACATAGGTATATTAGCGTTGGACTCAAACGGTTAACCGAACCGAAACCGAAAACCGGGGGTCGAAAACTGGCATATTTTAATTGCCATCCGTAGATTAATTAGTTTTTTTTCTCCAGAATGTCTGCTAAAAATTTATGATTCCACTTAAAACTCACAGCAGTTTCATAGAAAAAAATACATTTAAGAAATATATATATATAGTTGAACTTCTCGAAAATCGTGTCCTTCTATTCATACATCGGCTCGTTGTTTAAACCAGATTTGACTTTATTCACATATCAATTTTTCGAATTCGATCCTGAGGGTAATTTGCTAAAGAATTTTGACTGTAATTTAGTTTTTTTTTTAAATTTCCTAATTTTTATGTATTTTTAAAAATATATTTTAAGTCACATTATATGTATTTCCATGAATTTTTAAGAAAAATAAAATATTTTGAAAGAAACTTTTTTAGTTTTCTCAAGGGAACGTTTAGATAAAAATATGTTTTTAATGTTTTTATGTTTAAAACTTTTTTTTTGTATTTTTTAAAGATTTTATAAATATTTGATAAAGATTGTAGATATTATTTAAGAAAATTTAAGGTTTTAATAAAAAAATTTTTTTATTAATTATCCAACTTTCCTCAATTTAAAAATTAATGTCATACAATCATAAATTTAAATATATTTAATCTTGCTTAAATGATTAAAAAAATATTTAAATTTATTATTTTATAGGTAATTTAAAAAATATTTTTTGAGCAATTTTATTAAAACACAAATTTTAACACAAAAATTTAAAATATATAATTATCAATCATTTATTCTCTCTCCATTTTTTATTTTTTGTTGGTCCATCAAATAATTCCCAAAAGGGGGTTTCTTTGACTTTTTGTTTTTAAAAATTGTTTGAATTTTTATATTATTTTTAAAGATTTTGAAGGAGATTGAAGGAGAATGAAGGAGATCCTGGCCTAGTTAATAAGACAAAAATAGAAACAATCATGCGGCATTGGGATAATTAAGGATCAATTTGTCAGCTCTTGTAAAATCGTTGGATATTCTGAATCTAAACGAAGAACCGAGCTGGAAAATCCTTTGTTTTTCGGTTCTGTCTAGTTCAAAAACTTTATGAGCATCTAATAAGCTCGTATCGGGGAGCTCTCAGAATCAAATCCCATCTATTTCCTGATATGAGTTTTGCGGCTTAACTATGGTTATTGTTAGAATACCATCAAATTCTATAGACAATCCATAAATTAAAAAATATTTTTTATGTGTATTATACGTATTATATCGCATCATATATTTATTTTTATGTAAATAATGTAAGCGCATTTTAAGCGAATTTTTATATTAAAAGGTCTTTAATAAAAAAATTATATATTTTTTTATTTTCTGTCACATTTTATATTCAGAGATATTTTTTGTTTAATTTGCCATCTTCTCATTTATTTTTCTTAGAAAAATAAAATAAAAAGTCAAAGGAATTATTTAAACAAGACAAATATAAAAACTAAAAAAAGAATTAAAAATTATATTTTCTAAATAAAATTAATTTTTGAAGGAAAGAATGCTTTTATTTAAAAAAAGAACACTAGAAAAGCAATTAAATTTGCGCGAGTTAAAATAAATAAAATTTGTTTTTAAAATTAAATTTTTATTTTTAATGAATAATGCCAAAGGTTTTTAATTTTTTAAGTAAAATATATTTTTAAATTTACATTTGATAAACTTTTTTTGTTCAAATTTTTAATTTATTTATATTTAACTTCTCAACTAGCATTTTATAAATTAATTTTATAAATCGAGGGAGGGTTATTGGGAGTGTTTGGAAAGCTTGTAGACTTTGGGAGGAATCAAATAGAAAAATTACAGAATTTTTACTTCCAAGGTAGCTAATAGAGAGTGAAAATTATATCTGTTTAAAAGTACAGAGCTTTTAAAGTTCTAAATTAATTTTTTTGTTCTTTGGCATTGTCTTTCTTACCCTTTTCCTTTTGAATCTTAGGTTTATTTTTTTATATTTTTCTAATTATAAGAAGACTGTTTTTTGGGAATTTTTAGGAATGACATGCTATAGAATATTTTTTAAGTAATTTCATTTTCACATATAAATTATATTTATTTCTTATCAAATCTATTTTTTGTTATTAAAATAAATTCGTTTTCTACACTTAATTAAATAAAACTTTTATTTTAAATTTTCTCTAAATTTTATTATTTTTTTCTTTAAATTAAATTTTCTTTATTTTTAACAGCTTCTTGTCAATAAACTTTAAATAAATTAATTAGAATTAGACACCAATTGTCTTTATTTTTTAATAAACAATTGGCTTTCTAGATGTGGATATTTATTGTTTTATTTTCTAAAAACAATTTGAGTCCTCTAATATTTATTTCAAGAAATGATCCTCTTTTTTTAAATATCTCTAAAATTACCTCGATTTAAGGACCCTTTTTAACTCTTTAATTAGCCAGTGGAGGAGAGAGGCTATCTAATTATTACCTTCTACATATTTAAGATACCCCTCATATTTCCCTCACAAAAACAGACTCAACAGACGAATTTCAAACTAATGTGGGAAAGTGAATATCCTTAGAATATTCTCAAAATAAAAGAAAAATCTTTGAGAACAAAAAGCTTCTTTTTCTTCCAATTATTTCCAACTCTTCTATTAAATATTTATTTATATATATTTAATTGTCTCTAGCATAATTAAATAAATTTTTACAAAAAAAGAATTGAAAAAATAGCTAGAATGTCTGAAAATAGCAAAAAAATTATTTAGAAAGATGGGAGGTATTACAACTTAACTTTACTTGTATTTTCAGAAAATTTAAAAATAAGAATAAAAAAGGTTTAGTGGAGAATTAATTTGTGGTCTTATCCTAATTTGCAGAAAGAACATAAAGGAATAAGAATATACAATCTTCTTGGATAATAGCTCATTCGGTTTTCTCCTATCTGGTCTCCTTCCATGCTGATTTTAGTCCATCTCACATCCAACAAACATAATAGTTTGGATTGTGCTGGGATTAGATCCCAAGCTTATTCCTTCTCATATTCGTTTACTTCTTTTTAGCATCCTAGGTGTATTAACTTATTACCTCCGCTTCTATATCATTCGCATTTCATCTTTTGCCTTTTAAAATCGAGTTTCGCAAATCCCTAATATACATAAAGCAATGTTTAATTTATTAGAAAAGATTTTTGTTGAGATTTAAAAAATTCTTTTGGCTTTACATATCGGATATATAGGTATTACTATTTAGTTATTTTTACCAAAATCTTTTCTCAAAAATTATTTTAAAATATATTTTAATCTTCAGTTCATTTTGTTTATTTTATTTTCAAAAAACCTTTTATTTAAATTAAAATTTTTTTAATTTAAAAAGTGTATTTTTTTATTAATTTAAGATTTTCTTTAAATTATAAAGTACAAAATCTAAAAAATTAAATAAATTAAATTTTGAAACATTTTTAGAAAGAAAATAATAAAAAAATTTATTTTTATTCATTAAAAAATATTTTTTTAAATAGAGATTGAATTTTTTGACTTTTTTTTTATTAAATTAAATTTTATGGTACTTGGAACAACTTGGAAGTAATTATAGAGTCAGTAGTTAACCTACAGCCACCGTCGCGGCTTGTAATCCCTTGTAAACATGTACCTTTACATCACTGTCGCGGGGAGGAGGGGTCCGACAAAACCAAAAGGAAGAGGGCATGTCGGGAGTCGCGCGGCAAATTATCAAAAGGTAGTGGGCAGTCGGCACTGTCGCGGGGTCAGACAAAAGAAAAGACTGTGGGAAAAATCAAAAGGAAGAGGGCATATCGGCACTGTCGCGGGGTGATACAAAAGAAAGAGAGTATAGTGGGGAAAACAAAAGGATCGGCACTGTCGCGGGGAGTAGTAAGAAAAAGGAAGTATATAATTAGTACTACTAATTTGAGTCATCAACTACATGTGTAATCTTGTCATGTTCTATGTGTATCTTGTCATGTTTTGTGTAAATTATTTTTAAAAAAAGTGTTTTTGAAATAGTCGATTTTTAGGAGAAAAGTGCATAATTAAGAATACAATGTGCAAAGTTTAGAGTTTGAAACAGTCGATTTTAGGGAGAAAAGTGCATAATTAAAGTGAAAAAAGTTGCAAAAAAGCAAAGTTTGTAGTTTGAAATTGTTGATTTTAGGGGGAAAAGTGCATATTTTGTCAAAATAAAATGCAAATTTTAAATTTTTATTAAAATTCATACATTTTGGGTATGTGCGCGTGTTTCAGGGGAGTGCGCATGTTTTATGTATGCGTGTGTTTTTTAGTGGGCGTGACATTTCTAACAATAATTCTGTAATACACTGAAAACCTGAGTATAAAAAGCTGGAGATTTTGAATTCTAGTATCATTCTTTCAAAATGAACCAAAATTTGTTTTCCCAAATCCTCCCTGAAGTTGATTTCAATATCTCTTCGAGTGGATTAACCGTGTTAAGTTCCCGTCTTACCACTCCACGATTTATTCCTTATGATCAGTCAGGGAAATGTAAGGAGTGTAAGAGCACAGAGGTGGAGATTGACTTTATTGTGACTAAGGAAGGGGTTACCATCTATTGTACACGAATTGGATCTGGTACCCGATTTGTTCCGTTCGATACAGTATTTGATTTGCCTACCCACTGCTTTTTCAAAATCAAAAATAAGGGAAGAGTGTTCAATGTTCCTCATGGAGTACAACCACAACAAATTATCCATCAAAATCCGACGAGAGGGAAAAGGAAATTGGATGAACTGCCTTCTCCTCCTCGAAATGTTTCTCCTACTCCTCCCGTCAATAAATTGTCTTCTCCTCCTCATTGCTCCCCTACTCCCGCGCTACATTCTCCCCCAAGACATATTTCCCCTACTCCTCCCGTCAATAACTTACCTTCTCCTCCAAGACATATTTCCCCTGCTGCGACTCCAATAGAATGTCCAAAGGCTATCACCGATACTGCGCGTCCTAATACACCCCCTGATAATGTAGAGTTTGAGAAGGAACTCCAAGAATTTTATGATAGTTTAATGGCAGCTACGACTGGATTAACTTCAACACCGAAGAAGTTGGAAGAGAAGGTTGTGACAGAAGAGAAAAAGGATGAAACATCGTTGACAAATGTTCCTATATAAACCTTTAATTTTTTATGTAATATTTATTTTTTCCTATTAATATTATGGAATCACAATCATTTACTAATAAAGATTTGTATTTTAAATTACCTTTTGGTATGATTTTGTCTGGTCCAAGCTCAAGTGGAAAGAGCTCATTCCTATTGAAATTTATAGCAGACTCCCAAGATTTGATCGATCCTAGTCCAAAAAGTGTACTGTATTGTTTTGGAGAGATGAACGATAATATCCCCATCCTTCAAAAATCTGGAGTTAATGTCTATGCAGGAGTACCCCCAGAGGAGCTAATAAAAAGTTATTCAAAACCTTTACTCTTAATTCTAGATGACTTGCTCCTGTCTATAGATGAAAAGTATTTGTCGGAATTGTTCACAAAAAAGTCTCACCATCAAAATTTTGCAATTGTTTTTGTAACCCAAAACCTATTTGAGAAAAAGATTAAGGTTGCCCGTCAAAATGCGCAATATATTGTTTTGATGAGGTCGCCGAATTCTGCACTCTCTGTGAGAAATATTGGAGTACAACTGTTTCCCCGTCAATTGGAATATTTCCTTGATGCGTACAAACAGGCAACCAATGAACCATACGGATACCTACTCATAGACTTGCATGCGTCCTCTGATCCAGCTCTAAGGCTTCGAACCCGCATATTTAAGGACGACGAAGAGAAGATAATTTTCATTTCCAAAAATGTTTAGTCAACTAATTTGTGAAAATAAAGATTTTTTACGCTCTTTAGCGAATTCAAGATCTGAAAGGAGATACCAAAAACTTTTGCGAAAAGCTGATACTAGTCAGTTGTTATCCATTGTTGAAATTTGTTTGAATATTGTAAAATCTCGTTTTAATCTTAATACTCGACAAAAGAATCGTTTATTACCACATGCGGAATTTATTCGTAAAATGAGTCGTGCTAGGAGTGAACGGGGAGTAAGAAAAGTTTTGAGACAAAAAGGTGGAGGAATAGGAGTATTTGCTGCTCTTCTCACACCTGTACTAATGGAACTAGCTCGAGCAATTAGTATAAAAGCCTATCAAAATAATTCAAATCAACCATAAATTTAAAAATAATGGCAAAAAAATTAATTCTTGTTCCAGAAGAGATTTATAGAGGGCTTACTTCAAATAATTATGGGGACCCAAATTTAGATTTCACAAAGAGAGCGGTGGAAAATGCTAAAAGTAAAAAAGAAAACCTCTCTGCCAAAAATATTCACTACAACCAAGAACTTAGACGATATCTGAAACTTAGGAATGAGAGTGAGAACAAACCTGTTAGAGTCGAAATGGTAGCCAACCCCAAAGGAGCAATTATGAATAGAGATGTTATCAGACCTGCAACAAATATTACAGACGATGACGATGATTTATGGATGAGCGATGATTTTTCATATTCTGCGTACCCACAGGAGCCGCCAGCCTTATCATATAATATTGTTCCTCCTTTGTCAGATTCTTCAAACGAACAAATAGCCCCCATAAGGCGACGTAGAAACTTATTAAGAGATGGAATTTCTCCCACTCCTCCTACACATAGACAAAAAATCAAGAGAAAAATTGGGGAGGATGATTATGGGCAAAATAAAAGAAGACATTTGATTAATCATAAAAATGAGGCTAGAAATGAGTATCTGAAACTTTCTGAAAAGGCTAGGAATAGGATGCAAAAATTAGAAAGGAAAAAGATGTTGAAAAATTGGAGAATTCCTTATACCCCTGAATATTATACAAATGTCCCGGTTGATGATGATTTTCCTCCAACTCCTCCCAACCCAATTCTCCCCACTATTCCTGAAGGTATTGATGCTCCCCTTGTATCAGACCCTCCTCCAACTAGACAAATTACAAAAAGGGGACAGTCATAAGAGTTTGAAGGTACAAAGAGGTGGAAAAAAGGATTTAATGAACATGAAGAAGCAAAATTAAAGCGTGAACAGAAAAGAAGGGAATATTTACAGAGGAAAAGTAATATTCGAGAACAAAGGGTTCCAATTGATCAATCAGCGTTAGTTAAAACTCGTAAGGAAGATGATATTCAAAGACGTCTAAAATTAAAAAGAAAATGGGAAGGTCCAGACGAAAGTCCTCTAATTACCTTGAAAAAAGTAAAACCTGTCACAAAAGTTCAATCAGCAAAAGCCGGTAGAGAATGGATGCTAAGACTTATAAAAGCTAAACGTAAAGAAGCAGGTATTAAAAGATTTAAGCCAACACTTTGGTAAAAAATGGCAGACCCCACACAACTATTACATCGACTTTACAACGATCCAGATTCACCTGCTGCCTTTTCCGGAGTTGATAGGTTATGGTATGAGGCACGTAAAATTCTCAAACATTTACCTAAAAAAGTTGTTCAGGATTATTTGGAGGGGCACAGGACTTATACACTTATGCGTCCAAAAAGAATTCATTTTAAAAGAGCAAAAACTGTAGCAGCTGGTTTTATGACTGATGTACAAGTAGATCTGGCTGACATGCAGGCTCTCTCCAGACATAACAAAGGAAATAAGTATATTCTCCTAGGTGTTGATGTTCTTTCTAAACGACTCTTTGGTGTCCCAGTCAAGTCAAAGAGTTCAAAGGATATGTTAGAAGCATTTAAGCAACTAATTGGTCAAATGCCTATGAAACCTCATAGGATTTTCTCCGATAAAGGGTTGGAATTTAAAAATAAAACTGTGAGAGAATATTTTGATCAAGAGGAGATACAAAAATTAGAGGCTACTCATTCAACTGTAAAAGCTGCTGTAGCTGAAAGGGCTATAAGAAATGTAAAGCAAAGACTTTATAGATACTTTGCTCAAAATAAGTCGCTCAATTGGATTGATATTCTGGAAAAAATTTTAAATGGAATAAATAAATCAAAGAGTAGAGTACATGGAATGCGACCAATAGACATTGATTTTTCCAATGCTCAAGAAGTGTGGGAGAAAATGTACGGTAATGAGTTTTCGTCAGCCGTTAAAAAAAATAAACAAAAACTTGTAGAGGGAGATTTTGTTCGCATGAGTATTGGCAAGAGTGCTTTTGAAAAGGGATATATTCCAAATTGGGGTGACCAAATTGTGCGAGTGGATAAAGTTCAGGATCAATTTTACCCTGTCCGATATAAAATTATTAATGATAATGGAGACAAGTTTAAAGGGTATTACTACCGAGAGGAGCTGGCACGTGTGAGGAAGGATGCAGATACAGAATATAGGATAGAAAAAGTTTTGAGAAAGAAAAAGAGAGCAGATGGTACATATGATATTTTAGTAAAATTTATTGGATATCCTGAAAGGGAGTGGATTCATGAAACCCAATTAGTATAAAAGCTCAATAAATTGTTCATTATTTAATTTTTGGTAAAAATGTCAAATAGTTTTTATGTTTGTTTATTGAGCAATGTGCCTGACTATCTCGATAACCAACCAAATAAATTTAGGGTTCACTTACCAAAGCCTCTTTATTTCTCTGGTGATTGGGTATGTGGTGTCCATAGTATCAGTTATCCATATTCATGGTCTTCAACAATTGGTACTCTTGATGAGCAATGGATAAAAATTCACTTTATTGATGAAAATTCGAAGAAAAATGTTATCAGAATACCTGTTCCGGCAGCTTCACACATTAATGTTGAAGCTCTTGAAAATTATTTGGCAACTACACTCAAACATCAGGCAGATTCTATAGGTTCTCTTGATAAAACAGGTGGATTTATTCAACCACCTCAGTTCTTGGTTCACCACCTCGAGCTGAAAAGAGAAAACGCTCTGCTGAAGAGGAATTGCGTTCTCCTTCCCCATATAGTGAAGACGATAATGAAGATTCCCCTCCTACACCTGAAGAAGAGTTGCGAGATCCTTCGCCCATTGAAGATCCCCCTCCTCCTATAGAAGAGCCAAGATCTCCTTCCCCCTACTCTGAAGATGATGAATCACCACCACCAAAGAAAGACAAAGAGGAGAGCCAAACTCAAATAGACGTTCCTACTAGTACTCAAAGATCTATTTTAGACAAGGAAGAGAAAAATGGACAAGAAAATATTACACAGACAAATACTAGGAATGAAGAGAAGGAATTAACAAAACCTAAAAATATTGAGCCTCAATCCCCACCTAAGCAGAATCAAACTCAAATTACACCTCCTGTTTTAACCCAAAAAGAAAATACTGAAAAACAATCTCCCCCTAAGAATATACAACCACCCCCAAAGAACGACAAAAAAGTGGAGAATAAGACTCAAATTACAGCCCCTGTTTTAACCCACAAAGAAATTACTCAAAAACCATCTCCCTCTAAGAATAATGAGCCACCCCCAAAGAAGGACAAAAAAGAGGAGAACCATACACAAATAACATCTCCTACCGTCAAAGAAACAAATATTGAGCCTCCATCCCCACCAAGGATAGAGCAGAATCAGACTCAAATTACACCTCCACCTGTTCTAAACAAAGAAGAAACTACTCAAAAGCAAACAGTTTTAAATGTAATAGGGTTAGAGAAACCAAGGGAAGAGAAGAAGGAGCAGAATAAGACACAGCCACCTAGTGTTTTAGCCAGCATAGGACTAAATAGCACGAAAAAGGAAGAGAAAAAGAATGCAAGTCTTTTGAGTGTAATAGGTTTAGATAGAAAGGATAATATGACTCAAACATCCCCTCCTCCATCTCCTACTGTATTTGAGGCAATGGGGTTAAAATCAAATAGTTCAAGAGGAGACAAATTGTTTCAAGTTTTATTTGGAAAAGAATCAAAGAAGGCACCCTCCCCGTCATTCATAAAATCAATAATTGAGTCATTGGTTTTAGATTATCACAATGACTTTGCCCGGTTTAAACTGCTATACTCCCATAAGAGTATCAAACATGTTTCTTTTTCGCCTCAATTGGGATATGTCTTAGGTTTTGCAAACCCTCAACATGTCCAAAATAATGAAATTGCCAAGTATGGATGTGATTTAAGAGGGGGGTTTTCAAGCTTTGCAATCTATGCTAAAGGACTTACTGAAAATATGATCGTTGGAAATTCACTTAGTTCATTGCTCCGAATTGTGTCAGTCACGGGGGCAGTACCTGGAGAGTACCACGAGAAAATTTATGACTCCCCTATCTATGTTAGAGTGCTTCCCAGAGAAGTTAATGAGATTGAAGTTGAACTGAGGACTATGGATAATGGAAGACTTGTACCATTTGCTTATGGTACAGTCAGTATAGTGTTGATATTTAAGAAAGTGATAAATTTCTGAGAGTATATAAACACTTGTATTTTTCACTATTCATTTTAAAACTTGATAAAAAATGGTTCATGTTCAATTTGATACAAACTCAGTAGGGTACAATTTTGTAGTAGATCAATGTGGGAGTGGTGCGGAAAATTATTATTTTAAGGGAGCGTCGCCATACCAGAGAGGGTATGGACAAAGAGGAGCAGGAGTAGGGGATATTATGAGAGGATTGTGGAGATTTTTTCTCCCAATTATGCGAAAAGTTGGAAGTACAGTATCTGCTGAGGCACTTAATACAGGACAGCGTGTACTTGAACGAGTTAACCAAGGTCAACCAATAAAGGAAGCGTTCGTCAGTGAAGGAAAAAGAGGTATCGATACAGTCTTAGAGAAAGGTGGACTACCAAAACAATTTGGGACTGGAAGAAAGAGTATAAAAAGGAAGAAATTTCCATCACATCAAACATTTATTGGTCAAAAGAAAAAACGTGTAGACGCATTTGGGTTTTATTAAAAATGTCTTTTAAAAAGATTGATAGAGATAGTCTTGATACTATTACAAATGCTGTAGAAATTTTTCAAGTTCCCCCTACCAATGTTACCATTTCATCCTCAAAAACTTTTGAAATCCTTCCCAGTAATCCTTTAACAGACACCCCCTTTCATTTTAAAATTCACTCAAGTGAAAATTTTATTGATTTATCCAAATGTTACCTTTTCACTGAATTTCGAATCCGTAAAGAAAATGCTAATGGTCAACCTGTAAATATTACCCTTGATGAAAATGTTGCTCCCATACAAATGATTGGAAACACTTTTATTAATAATATGAGAATAAGTATAAATGGGCGCGAAATATTCAATTCAAATTCCCTTTATGCCTATAAGACTTACTTTTCCCATGAACTTTCCTACTCTCTGGGGGCAAAAAGTTCTCATCTAAATGCCGCAGGCTATTATTATGATTCAGGTGTATCACAAGAGGCAGGAGCCAGCTTTAATTCAAGAAAAAGTTTATTTACTAATAGCCGAACAGCACAGTTCATTTCAAAACTTGATGCTGATCTTTTCAACCAGCCTCAATACTTGGTTAATCACTGTGAGGTCGATATTGAAATTTTACCCAATGACACAAAATTTCTCCTTATTGCTCCTCTACCTATTGGTGCTCAACCTACCCGTTATATTTTTGAAGTGGTCAGTTGTAAGTTATATGTAAAAAAGTTGGACTTGATGGATGGTCTTGCTCTTGATATTGCCAGAAAACTTGACGTCAAACCTGCTCGATATGCAATTAGGAAAACAATGATGAAACCATTATTTATCAGTCAAGGAAGATATGAGTTTCACGCTAATTTGTTCATGGATCAAATCCCTCGAAGAATTACTTTAGGATTAGTTGCAAATTCTGACTATGTAGGGACACAAGAGCGGAGCCCTTTCAATTTTCAACCTTTTAGGGTAAGAGAGATTAGTATTATAGCGAATGGACGCTCATTTCCTCAATCTCCATATGATTTTGATTATGGTTCAAATCGATATGCGAGAGCATTCCATGACATGAACGAAGCTATAGGCTTTTCTGGTACACCGGAGAACAATGGCATAACATACCAGCAATATGGAAGAACCCATTGCATTTATGTCTTTAACCTTACAAATAGTGGAGAAGATAATGGTGGGACATTCGATCTAATAAAAAATGGGTCAACAGCTGTAAATATTAAATTTAGTCAAGCTGTTCCAGAAGGCGGAGTTATGCTCATAGTAATGGGAGAAACAGATGCACTTATAATGCTAGACAAAAATCGATCCATAACAAGCGACACCACTATATAAACCTAAAAATTGTTCATTTTCTATTCATTTTAAATAAAAATGTTAAAACTTGCCAAAATTTTATTTTTAATTAGAGTTTTTACTCCTTTAGTTAATACCCTTAGTACAGATGGGACTGTGGACGTTCAAAATCTTCCCGAGTACCGAGAGCATTTACAAAGAATGGGATATCCACCAAAGAGGAACAAAACTGTTTCAAGTATGCCTACTCCTATCATTTCTGCTCCTCAACCTTTTGGTAGTTTCCCTCAAATTCAATTATGTAAGGAGACACCAGAAGATATTTATGGGCATATATTTTGTTGGGGAATGATTTGTTTGTATGCTCTCCTCATTATAAGTCTAATCATTTATCAACTTCGATCAATACTTTGGGTAAAATTAAACATTTTGCAAAACAATGTACAGCAGCCAGATAACTCAAATTTTGAGATCAAATCAAAAGACGAGCAAAATCTTCGAGGGGTGCTTCCCTTGTGACTTGATCCCTTCCCCTAATACTTTAAAAGGCTCTACAGCTCTTATTGTAAACTTGGATCCTCATGAAAAGAAAGGGTCACATTGGATAACACTTTATTTAGAAGAAGATCAAATATTTTATTTCGATAGTCTCGCACTCCCTATAAGTTCTTGTATTGTAAAATCATTTTTAAAAAATTTTAAAAATGTAAAAAGAAATTTTAACCCATACCAATCACCCCTATCAAAAACTTGTGCTCACCACTGTATTTCCCTAATATATTTTTTATCCCAAGGCTACTCCTTACCCAAATATTTAAATTTATTAGAGTCAATTAGTAATACAGATTTATTTGTAACTAAAATTGTAAACAATATGATAAATAAATGTATTTCGAGATAACTTTTTGTAATTTTAAAACAATCTGGACATAGATAAAATTCGTACTTAAAATTGTGTTCGTATTTTGGTACTATAATTTCGCACTGCAATCGACTCAAAACAAACTTTAGACAATCATGGCACCACTTTCCTGCTCTGAAGTAGTTTATGAGTACACTCAGTCGTGCTCCCAAGTCAAGTCGATCACCATCTTTGATGGCCTGACTCAAAGCATTCATATACTTCCTTTTGTGAAATTCTCTATACTCACATGACCCATGCATAAACTTAATAAATTCTTCTTCTGTAGATGAGCTCATTTTTTGAAAATTTTTAAAATGATCAATGAAAATGGGCGGAAATCAAAAATTCAACTTTTTGCAAAAAATTGACCTATATATCAAAATGTAAACTTTCAAAATATCAAAAAATAGGAGTATAAAAAGAGAAATTTTTGGAAAAAATTCATTCTTTTTAAAAAAATGAATTCTCATTCCTCTTCCAATAAAGTCATTGATGAATGCACGCGAATTTTGGGGTGCTCTGCAAAATCCTTAAGAGACCACCTAAACCATCCTGATAACCGCGTGCTTATCTTTAAAGAAATCCTCGGTCGTAAAGTCCAAACGACCTATGAAGACCAGAATGGCTTCAAGAAAACTTTCCATATTGATGGTCTTACTCAACATGGAGGTAATTCTCTCGTTGCTTATGGGAGATTACCTTTTCCATACAATGTGAGCGTTGCTGCTCACTATTATGCTCGACACAGGATTCGTTTACGTTATCCTTACTTGCAATGTGTCATTGAGCGCTTTCCATTTGGAGGAGAGGACAGATATTACCCATTGGAGTTGCTCGAGTTTGTTCCTGAACAAGAGGATCGACTTGCTAGCAAATGGGTGAATAAACTTTCCAATGATCTATCAAACAAGTTAACAATTTCGGAAGAGCCGAAGAGTCCAGTAATTATTTTGAAAAAAGATCAAGAAATACTTAATTCAGAAATACCTAATTTCAAACTTTGGTAATTAATTACTTGTATCAATTTATTTTTGAATAAAACTTTTTAAAAAAAAATTTTTGATTCAAGTGTAAAAAACACATAGGGCTTAAAAATACACGCGCATGCCAAAAATATGCACGCATACCTAAAATTCATAAATTTTAATAAAATATAAAAATTACATTTTATTTTACCAAAATATGCACTTTTACCCCTAAAATCACCTATTTAAAATTGCAAACTTTGCTTTTTTGCAACTTTTTCCACTTAAATTATGCACTTTTCCCCCTAAAATTAACTATTTCAAACACTAAACTTTACTAATTAGTTTCTTAATTGTACACTTTTACCACTAAAATCACCACTTTTAAACAAAAAAATTTGCATGTTTTTTTTTCATAAAAATTTTATTTCAAGTGAAAAGTAAAACAATAAAAATTGCAATTTAAAAGTTGAGAAAAAGCAATTAGGAGGGAGGATTAGGAGACCGGCTTCGCCATTCGACTCCTTTATCAGTCTCAACCAGGGATGTAATAATTTACTCAGTCCGCTACCACTGTATCTCAATGAGAGGTATGCCTCACAACATGTGAATGGCACATGTTGATAATCATCGTAAACAATGAGAGGACGACCTCACAACGTGTGAATGGCACACTTGATATTCATTGAACAATGGTTGGTATAGAGAAGATAAGGAGTACCCCTGACTACTTTCCGGTTCCAAAAATTATTAGGACAAATTAACAAAAAATTTTTAAGTAAAAGAAAAATTATGGGGGTGAGATACGAGGGTGACGATTATTTACAAAACCATAATTAAGTATTGAAAAGTCAGAAGGGCGAATAATTCCCTTACTGACCACAGGTTTATACAATTTATGTTGTGGTTGGGAAGTGACACGACCATCTTTAATCGATGGTCGCAAAAAATTGGGATAAATTATATCAATTGGATCATTTTCCCCAGTTCTAGCATAGGAAAGTACCTGTTCTTTGAAAGTATTGTATTGAAGGCCCTGGTTGTTGAGAACATCCCAATTCAACGTCATTCCCCTCACTTTCAGAACATATTCATGACCAGCTCCAAGATGGCTCTTCCGTTGAAGTTTCAGACCATACTGTTTGGCTCCACCACAGCAGTACTCCAAAATGGTGTGTGATGGGTACTCATCAGTCAGCTCTCCCAGGTGAGGTCCCAATGCAAGAGGACAGTTGTCGATTGGGTGTGCAAAAATCAACGAGTCGGTGTCAGTATAGAGAAGTTTGCATCCAGTTGTCCGGACCACCTTCTGCATGGCACGAAGCAAGTGAAGTCGTGCTGCTGACGTTGTCCATAAAGAGATGACAACGTTGGAGCAGTTGTGCTCCTCGATCCAATCTTTCTTTTTGATGTAGGTGATGAGCAGTATTTCATCTGTAAGCTCATCAAGTCCGGTGATCTCTATTGACTTGTCGTTGTAATATTTGTGTAGTTCTGCTGGGTTGTCGGTGATTGCACATTGTGACAAACCAAAGTTCCTTAAAGAAAATCTTCCCCACAAATTATTCAACATTAATTTGGCTTGAGTCCGCTTCCCCTTATTAGGTCCCATTTTACTCCTATCTATATTAATTCCAAACTTTTCCTTGCACTCATTGATGAACTTTTCCTCCATTTCAAAATCCCCCTTCATACAACTATCGAACCCTGAAGAATGTATTTTTTGCGCCATAAATTCACTGATGTATGGAGCAAATAATTTGTCGTCTGAACTATCATATTCCAGAACCCTAAAGACTTTGGTCACAATATACCCTTCTTCCAGTGCTGCATTCAGTTCAAGTGAAGTGCAGGTACTCACCCATCCACGTTGCTGATCTGTGTGTGGACATGAGTAGTTCTCATTCACACCTCCTTCAGGATTCTCTCTAGCACATTGAGAGCAGAGTGGGAAAAGAAGTCTCTCATCATCTTCGCCAACCTTCATTGGGAGAACAGGTATGTCAATACTCCTTGGTGGGATTACAAAAACTTTGAGGATTGCTAATTCAAAGTTGTTGTCCTCTGGCCTACTCCAATGAACATCTTGATTGAGGATGTGTACCTTCGGGTGCCCTACAGGATATTTTGTAGAAACATTAATAAACGGATACAGGGAGGTCACGTCATAGTATGAGATTTTCTCCCCCTCAGCTGGTTTGTAGAAGAGGGAAAGTGGCCCAGTTCGTCCACCAAAAAAGCACGCGCGCAAATCAATTGGCCCATCATCCAAATACTTTTTAAAACTGCTCCTCATTTCTCTGTCTTTATCCAGCATATTCCTAATCTCACACTCCCAAAAGACTTGAACATTTATTCCCTGACTCTTAATGAACTCCAACCTTTTCGAATCCTTATCCCGTTGTTTACCAGCTGTTAATCCATTGGGTAGAACTGAGTTGTTTTCAGGATAGCATCTCTCACACCCATGCCATACACACCCATTTACCTCAATCACTAATTTTTCTTCTTCAATCCACCCATCCAACTTGTAATTGCCTACTTTTTTCTCCCCTCCATCTGAATGAGCTGTCTGAATTTTTACCCCATGTTCTTCCTCATACCATTTCATAAATTTCAGGGCTAGACGACTTTGATTATCAACATTGTCGTAATCTTTCTCAGGAACCAGTGCCAAGTGGTTTTCCTTCAAATGGTTTGTCCTGAAGTGGTTCATACACGCTGATGCTATCGTCATCGACTCTCGCAGAACATCAATACCATTGTGAGCCTTATTTGAAGCCGCTCTCTGACAAGGGCCCCTCTTTGTTACGTCTAGGAATTCCCGTCTGAAAGCTATAAGTGCTGCGAGAAGAATTTCCACGTCGTTTGTACAATATGATGCCAACTCCTCATCCAAAAAGAATGATTGCTCCTTCTGTTGCGCATACCATTGATCAAATTCTTTTCTCTTCTCAGGCATCATCCCATCTGCAAAGTAATCAGATGGTTTGGGAAACACTTCCTTTCCATAGTTTTTAGGCTGGTTGGCGAGGTGAGGGAAAAAAGGCTTATCCTCTACCTCAAGAGCAAAAGCAGGGACAAGAGATGCCAAAGACATTGGCATTAGGTTGAAGCTGTCCCTGAAGATCAACATACTCTTCTTTCCAACTTTGACCTTCATCTCATACATTTTGTTCCCCCTCTTCAGCATTTCAGGAGTGAAACCCATAACAAATAACTCTCTGAACACTATTACCATATCAAACCTCCCCCCAAAATGTGAAAAGGCGATGGTGTCATACTCATTAGTCAGTTCAATTATCCATTTTACAAATGAGATGACAGGATCCTTGGTGATTTTCTGAAGATCCACGCGTGTTTTTGAAAAAGGGCGCTCAGAAAAGGTGACTAATCTGTTGATACCGCAAACTTTGCACTGCTCATCCTCCTCTTCAATACATTTGGGGCAAGTGACTCTCGCTGCGATGAAGTTTGCTTGGTGATTTCTTTTGTTGCCAGATGAAACGTGTTGCATGGTTTCAAGATCAAAAGCTACAAATCGGTATGGCTTTTGAACTTTGGACTCTAGAGGTTTAATGAAACAGCCACGCTTTGGGTCATGATATCCAGAGCAAGTTGAACAGTACCGCTCATTACATACATGTCCACTCCTGCCTCCTCTGCTATTGTCCCTCGTATCCCATATTATCCCACATTTTTCACAAAGTCTGGACACTTGACAAAATTTCGAATTCAGATGATGATCAAAGCAGTCCTCATTGTTGAACTTCTTGGAGCATCCAGTACATTTTTTGGAAAAACTGTTCCTTGGAGGGCAAGGGAAAAGCGGACCAACACGGGAACAATTCAGACAACGCGCCCTACATGTCGTAGAATGGGTTTGAGGACGCCCATAAACAGTTTCACACTCCAAACAATAGGGTTGCCCGAAAAGACCTCCTGTACTTGTTACACCGTTAAAATGGGCGCCGTCAAAATAAAGGAGTAGGGGAGAATTATAATTTTCGGGGCCATACTTAAAACAGGGTTTATAGTGACCCAGGCAATCAAATATAAATACTTTAAAACAAAACCGGCCTGAATACAATTCATTCCAGTAGTCAACCACGGGAGGGACCCATTCTTCAGCGTTGTACTCCTCTCGGCCGAGAGGAGCTCCAATTTGCTGCATAAGTTCCAAAGTTTCATGCTCAAAGCGTTGTCTAGAAGCATACCTCCCGTGGATATAATTGTAGAATTGGGAGCGCGACATTCCTCCAATGAGGCGCACAAGTGTCGCTAATAAAGCATAGAATAAACAATATCCATCGTTGTTGTTAATTTTGATCAGATTCTGCTGCTTAATCTGATGATGAATAGGTGCAATTCTACGTGGAGCTCCTCCAATAATGTTGCTTTCGTTGATCAAATTTTTCTTATCAACGACCATTACATTTACTGAAAAAGGTTTTCCCCAAAGGGTAACCCCTGCCTGTTTTTTACTCTGGGAAACCTTATTAAATTGGTTAAGCAGGGTGTTAAAGGTATTCTGGGAGGTGGGCCTGAGGGGGATCCAAATATCTGAATCTAGTAACTCACTTGATAAAGTACAACTCAGCTCCTCCGGAACAAGCCCATTATTTTTGGCGTTGTTTGTAGCCTCATTGAAGCAATGCTGGAATATCCCAGATAATAAGGCCTCAGGGTCGGCCGGGATATTACTGATTAAAAATTTTGTGTAGTTTTTGGTGATTTTAAATTTGTTGATGAATTTTGTAGTATTTTCAAGTTGTTCAATATATTGTTGTGGAGTAGCTTCTCCTCCTGATTGATCAAGAGAGAGGAGGTTGTCGATGAAGAACGCTCTTGCGCGTTTGGTGGGAGGACAATAATCCATACTAAATAGAGCAAAAATTTAAAAAATTAAAACAAAGTGGAAATTTAAAACTCGTATGAAAAAAGAAGAAGCAGGAATCAATATGTATATTGATTCAAAAAGGAAATTGATAAACGAAGTAAAAAAGATGAATTAATTAAAAAGCTCAATAAAAGATAAAATTTGAATATTTTAAATTGAAAAGTGAAAATTAAAACTTAGTGAATAAAGTTTAAAAAAACTTAATTTAAAATTAAAACTTAAGAAGCAAAAAAAAATCTAAAAACTTTTAAATAAAAAATTAAATTTAAAAAATTAATTCAAATTTTAAGGAAAAAGTTTTCACTGATGTGAAAAATTTAAGGGAGTTTTTTAAATTAAAAATTTAATTTAAATAATATAAATTAAATAATTTATTAAAAATTATTTAATATTAAATTAAAATTAAAAATAAAAATAGTTCTTTATTTTTTTATTTAAAATGAAAAGAATGATGCAAATATGGATTTTTTCCTCGTTTTTATACTCGCCCTTTCGCTTCGATAAAAATCGATTAGTTGGCGTTTTTATTCAATTCAAATTCTGCGTTTGCTTTTTTATTCAACTATTGACATTCAAAGGATTGGTAGAGAGCCAAAAATAAAAGAGAAAGGAGAAAAAAAGTAGCACCAGTCGGGAAATGTGAAAGTATCGACTGTCGATAATAAAAAAGAAAAGATCTTTTGTCGGCAAAAGCAAACTAAATCATCGACTGGTGAGAAAGAGAAGAAAAGAATTAAAAGGGAAAAAAGATCGGCGGCAGTCGGAAAAAAGAAAAGGACTGACCGGTTGTAAAATAAAGAAAAGGATTAAAAAGGAAGAAAAGATCGGCGGCAGTCGGGGAAAAGAGAAAGCCGACCGTTTGTAAATAAAAGAAAGGAGTTAAAAGAGCGGTGCGAGTCAAAGGATTAAAGTGGCAGCGGCCTTTGTGGAAGCAAAGTGTAAAAATTAAATCAATTAGAAATATAAATATTATGTACATACAAATTGCCACAAAAACTGAAAAACATAGTTGAAACAGATTTACAAACTGAATATTGACATTAACAAACACTATTTGATTGATTAATCACATGCACAGTCCGGGTAATCACCTGCACTAGTAGCCTTGATAATCACTTACATAAATAGTGATTAATAAGTACATGATTACACGGTTGTAAGTACAAATTACTTCACCCAACCATACACAATAATATTACAAGATGAATGACACAAAATATGATGAATGACACAAAATATGACATACACACAAAACATGACAAGATTACATAAATAATTAACACCCGAAATGGTGATCATTTACAAATTAGTACTCACTAATTACATACTTTCTTGTATGTAATTACCACTCTTGCCCGCATGAAAGTGTCGTTATATTCTTTTTGGGTTTTCACACTATACTCTCTTTCTTTTGTCTGACATCGCGACACCCTATTCCTTTTGGTTTTTCCCAGTCTTTTCTTTTGTCTGACCCGCGACAGTGCCGACTGCCCACTACCTTTTGGTTTTCCCCCACTATATCACTCTTGTCTGACCCGCGACAATGCCGACTGCCCACTACCTTTTGATTTTTTGCCGCGCATTCCCGACCTGCCCTCTTCCTTTTGGTTTTGTCGGACCCCTCCTCCCCCGCGACAGTGATGTAAAGGTACATGTTTACAAGGGATTACAAGCCGCGACGGTGGCTGTAGGTTAACTACTAGAGTCAAATTCTACCTCATTTTGAGACGCACATTGGTGTTAAAAATAATACCTTGAAATTTGGTTTATTATCTTAAATCGGGGGTATCTCTTAGAGATTAGATTTACGACTTTTTTTATTAAATTAATTTTTTTCTTAGTCACCATATTATATTTTTCGGGAAAAAATTAATTGTATGGGGAATGGAATGAAACCATCTCTGCGACATCCCAAACAGAAGCACAACCGATTGTGCCAACATCCAACCTGATGATGAGTTATTTTTATTTATTTATATTCCCTCATTACCAAATATTTACAATAATCACTTCTCCACATTTACTTTACTTAATTTTAAAAAATTTCAAAATTTCAGTTGAATTAGCCTTTTTAAATTTATTTTTAAAAAATATTTTAAAAAATTATTTACTTTATTTCTTTCTTGGCACACCTCTATGTAATTAATTTAATTGGCACAGATTAGCACCAATTCCAATTTTAACTTTTCTTATTTTAGATTTAAAAAAAAAATTACTCAACTGCTAATTAATATTTTATGTATCCTTTTTTGTATCCTTTTAATATATGTAGTTAAAATAATTAGTAACTTTATTTTAACTAAATTTAATTGAAAAACTATATGTATTTTATAGAAAATTAATTTTAGAAAGTTAATAGAAGGCTAATTTTTAATCTTTACTTTCTTTTTTTTATAATTTTCTAAAATTATTTGTTATATTTATTTTTTGTTTAATTTAATTATTACTTTTACAATCTTTATATAAATATACACCAGGGGTGTGCTTTCCGCCAAAATGTCGCCTTTATAGACTTTAGTTTTTCATGTTTCGCTTTTTAAAATGACCTCCGCCTTTTCGCCTTTCGATTTTTAAAATCTGTTTCGGCACGCCCTTGATATACACCCTTTGGTCTTTAAAAAAATAAATATCGTTAGCATTTCACATTTTCGTCTTTTATCCTTTTATAAAATCTTTTATTAAATTTCTATCTACTTTTATTTATTTTTTAATGTTTTCTTAATTTTTTAAAATAAATATTTTGTATATTTTTAGATTCCAAGGATTACCCATTTTTTATACTTATTTTTAAAAAAACAAGCAAACACTTCCAATTTATTTTCCTTTTAATTTACTTCTTTTAGCACTTAAATTTAAATATTTTTTCCCATTTTTTGTTGCAATTTTCCTTTCTCCTTAACTAAATTTATTTTTCATATTAATATTTTAAAAACAAATTTTTCTTCCCCTTTAATTTACTAAAAGTACAAAAATATATACACAATTTTGTAGTTACATCCTTTATTTTTTTGATAAATTGTTAATAGTTTGTAGAGTATTTAACCAAAAAATATATAAATTATTTAATTAAAAATATTTTTTTCTTTCCTGAAAAACAAATTTAAAAATTTTTTTCTCAAGCAAAAAATTTGTTTTTCAAGAAAAAAAAATATTTTTTAATTATTTAATTAATTATTTATTTTGTTTTTTCTTAAAAATAAAAAGGAAGCAAAAATTTCATTTGTATATTTTCCCTTATTTTGTATATAAACAACACATATAAGGAGGGGCTTAATGTTTCCTTTTATCTTGTTTTTTTTTTAAATTTTATTTTCTAACTTAGCCTCGAAATGATATAAAATTTTGGGACTAAATAGATAACTAGAATTTAACCGACTCAAGAAATATCGACTGAGTCCCTAGTATCACCCTAATTGTTGGGGTTTAAAATTGTAAGCCCCTCCAACTAGAGTGATTAATCAAAATTTAAAAAAAGTCTCTTATAGAGTTGTCGGTTCATGTAAAATTTTCGGATATCCGGAACCGAAAAACCGAACCGAAAAATCATCGGCTCTTCGGTTCGGTTCGGTCCAGAACCGACATCCCTAGACTCTTATATTGAGGTGTATCTAATTATAGGGAGGTCTGACTGTGTTTAAAGTTTAGAAAAAAGTTTATGATTGAAAAAGTGTGTCTGATTTATTTAAAAATTATTCTTAAATTTATTTATTTTAAAAAGCCAATTTCTCGAAAAAGTCGCTTAATCATGTTAAATTAGGTACTTAAGTATAAATTGTAAATATAATAATTTGAAATTAAGTTAAATATTTTTTAGAAATTATTTTTATTTTCAGAACTCACTTCAAATAATTTTTTCCTTTCATCTTCTGACTCAATTTTAAATAAAAATATATTTTTAAATATATCTAAGCTTTAATATATCCAATAAAAAAACTTGTGATCCAGTGGGAGTTAAATTAATTGCCCTATAATACAAATTACTTTTAGATATAAATTAATTGGTATTTAACGACAATATGCTTTAAAAAAGTTTTTTATTTAAAATATTTTTTATTTGTGTGAATCGTTCCTACTAAAAAAATTAAAAATATACTATTTTATTACTGAAATTGAAAAATTTAATTTTTTCTCCGTAAATGAATTATTGTGGAACTGGAGAATTAATCGAGATTAGGGATTATATGTATGTCGAAAAATCTCGATAGCGATAACTTATAGCAAGATTTTGCCTCGATTTGACCTTTAATTAGTTTAAATACATATAATTGTTATTATATTAGAGTAAATAGGATTAGGGTTGCCAGTCGAGGCTTTTCAGCTCGAAAAGTTCGAAAACGACCGAATCGAAAAAAGCCAAGCTCGAAAAAATGCACCGAACGTCGGCTTGAACTGAAAACGGCAACACTAAATAGGATTGTCGAACCAAAAAACAGTTTTATCGGTTACTTTTAGTTTTCGGTTAATAAAATAATTAATTAAACCTATTTACAACCCTTGATAATAACTTACCTAATATTAATTTCTAAATTAGTGCATATTTTTGAGAATCTAGGAAAAATTTTTTTATCAAAATAAAAACTTATTTATATTTTATTTCAAACAAATTATTAAATTGTTGCATTGTTAAAGGGATAAAATATATTTTAGGTTAGAAAATTGAATAAAGGAAATGATAAACAAAACACCTCTTCTTATTTTTATTTTTTTCATCTTCACGTAAACAAAATTATTCTAAAAATTTTTTTCTTTTTTATTTCAAAATTAAATAATGTTGCCTTATAAATTTATTTTTATGTAAAGGATATAAACAAACAACGAGTCTCAATTTTATTTACTCCTTAGGGTGGAGAAATCTCTAATAAAGGTATCCATTATATTGATAACTTGGATAGTTCTCCCAATATACAAATCAAAAATGTATTTAAAATTGAGAATGTTAGCTCATTTCATCTGGCCAGTGTTTGAAAGCTCGTGCCTAAACTTGTACTACGTGTACATTAAAAATAGGTCACTTAATAAATTTTAAATTTCCAAACACTAACACTAGATAATCTCTTAATATTTACTCGTTCTGTCAATTATTTAGTTTCTCAAAAATATAAACACATTCAAATTTTAAGAGTAACTTAATTACTTTATTTAATCCCTCATCTAAATATCCCCATAACTTGGATAAAATAAGGTTTATATCAAAAAATTATTAAAAAATCCACTCCTCTTTTCTAAAAAAATTTATTTGACGTATTTTAATATTTTTTAAAATAATTTTCTCTTTTATTTTTTTCAAAGATTAGTATTTCTTTATTTTAACTGCGCAGCTTTACAAAAATAAAATTATTTCTTTCTTTAATATATTTCATTTAAATAAAGTCAACCACCTCCCTATAGTGTAAATGTAACATCCTTTTAGCTGGTTAGATCAGACTTGGTAATGACTGAAGATATCCGCCTGTATCAGCCGTTCATGTCCATTACCAAGTCTGGGTTAGATAACTCCACCTTAGGTGGCACCCTAATCCGAGGTTTTTCACGATCTCCGGATTATTTCCAATTTATAAGAGAATGAACCTTCATTCACTTCAATAAGAGATGAGCCTTCACAAAAGAAACTCAGTCTCGGTCTTCTTGTAAAATTCTGGCTTTTTAAACCTCCCATATCCGACTCGCACACCGACCAAATTTTGATCTCTCTACCCAAGACACACCCTCCCTCGAACTTTCGGGAGTATAACACTATTTCTACATATACATATTATTTTTGATTTTTATTTAGAATTTTTTATGTTTTTTCTTAAAAAAATTTTTTTCTCATCATATAATAATAATAATTATTATTATTATTATATTGCTTCTTCTTTTCCTTTCTTCTTTTTTTTATTTACCCTTTTTACATAAATATTTATTATTTGCCTTTTAGATTGAGGCGTAAATAACAAAAAAAAATATAAAAATAAGCAGTTGGCAAGACTTTAAAAAATGAAAAATAGCTTTAAAGGATTTGTTTTTTTTTGGTTTGAATATATTTTTTATATATTTTATTTGAGGGCAAAAACCAAAAAAATAAAAAAAGGGTCGAAAAATCTAAAAGGGGCAAACAATGGGAAAACTAAAAAGTATTGGCATTTTGCACTTTATAGCCTTTTTAAAACAATAAATATTATATTTCCTTTTTTAATTTTTTATATTTTGATGTTCAATTCAGTTTCAGTCCAAATTGAATTTAGCCGGATAAATTTAATTTATTTTGATTTTTCTTTGGCTCTAGAATATTAATAGAATATTAATAGGATTTTAATACATATGTATGTACTAGGGAACTAACCGACAAAGTTGACACCACTGCTGACACTTTACTTCTGACACCCCACATTGACTATGGATCCCCCTCTTCACCCTTCATCCACTCCCCCTCCTCCCCCTTCATCCACTCACAGAAAAAAAAATTCAGAGAAAAATCAGAGAATCAGGGGTACGTCTGGATTAGTGTTATTCACGGTACCGTATTACCGCGGTATTTTTCGGTAATACTGCGGTATTTTTACCGAAATACCGATACCGAATACGGTACCGAACAATTTTTAAAAAATCGGTATTTTTTCGGTATCGGGATTTTACCGAAAATACCGATACCGATACCGAAAAATCGCGTTTGAATAACACTAGTCTGGATACATACGTCAGGATTTACCTTGCTTTTCACTAACTGCGCGGGTGCTTAAAATTTTTTTAACTGCTGACACCCCCATTGACTATTGTCCCCCTCCTTCTTCATCCAACTCCCTAATATTTGCTAAAATTACACCTTTCTATTATGCTTTTAAAAATAATAATAATAGTTTATACATATTATCTAATAATTTCAATAATTTGCTCATAGTACTTTCATTAAATAGAAGGCAAAAATGCCAAATTTCATTATTTTAATTTCTCTATAATATAGGCAATTTATTTAAATATTTACTAATTTTAATAATTATTTATTCTTCATCATTTTTACAAAAACCATTTTTGCATTTTATCGACAAATATTATTATTATTGTTTTTATTTTTTTATTTTTTTCCTTTTATTTTTATGCCACCGAGCTGGTGTGAGTTAAAGAGAAGTGGAATGTAAATAATATATTTTATAAAAAAAGAATTTAACCTCACTAATCCCCAGCTATCAATTTTAGCTTTCAAAAAGGAAAGAAATTTTTTAGAAATATAGAAAAAAATATAAAAAGAGAAGAAATATTTAAATTTACTCGTCTTAAATAAAGTCAAATAACGGCATGTAACGAACTTGAATTGACCAAAGAAAAGGGGTCATTATATCGAGAGATTTTGCCGAGTACATGTCTACCAAATTTCATCCCGAAGTCCCACGGACACCCTAGGCACTTTCCTTTGTAAAGGAGAACTGGGTAAAATTCAATTTCGTTCCCCCCCCTCCTTTTTTCCATCCTCAAAGTATTAAAAAATGGTCAGTCAGACTTAAGTTATAGAACTCGTCGAGCTGAGTCGAATGACACCAAAATCAAAAAAATTCGACTTGATTTGACCGAAATACAGACCCCTGAAAATTGTCGAGCTGAGTCAAATGACACCAAAATCAATGTAAACGGACGAGTTTAGACAAAGTTATGGCATTATTTAGACCTACCGGAGTCGGAAACATTATGTCATAACTTTGTCAAAACTCGTCTGATTATGTCGATTTCGGTGTCATTCGACTCAGCTCGTCGAGCTCTTTCGAATGAGCTATCATTTGTATACTTTTTCGTCCTTTTGGTTTTTCGCCCCTATGGTTGTTCAATTTTCAGGGGTCTGTATTTCGGTCAAATAAAGTCGGATTTTTTTGATTTTGGTGTCATTCGACTCAGCTCGACGAGTTCTATAACTTATGTCTGACTGACCATTTTTTAATACTTTGAGGATGGAAAAAAGGAGGGGGGGGGGGGGAACGAAATTGAATTTTACCGAGAACTGTGAATTTTTGGAAAGCTAACGAATTGGAGAAAGGCTCGTTATTTCAAAATAGAGGGTTCGCTAAATCTAGCGGTTCAAAACTAGGGGATCTTCTGTCTAAGTAATCTTTTACTTCTAATTCATACCAATAAAAGTATATCTTTAATTTATGATTATTTTACAAAAAATTTATAAATAAATTTCAAATTTATAAATAGGAAAAAAATAAAATTACGGATGAATGCATAAATTCTTTTCTTTAAAAAATTTAAACAAAAATTGGTTTATACACAACAATAATTACTTAAATAGAAAATATATAATCGTTTAAAGAATTTTTTTATTTTTGCAAATATTTTTTGTGTTTTATAATAGATAGAAAAAATAAATTTGTTAATAATTAATTCAAAAAATATCTCAATATCTCCAAATAAATTAAAAAATAACACGTTTCCCTCTCCTGCAAATTTCGGTTTCGAAGTTTTTCTTTATTTTTGAATATTTGATTTTTTAAATAATAAAAATAAATCTTTAATTGTTGTAATAAAAAAAATTATTTATTTTCAATAAAGTTATGTAAACACATAAATTGAGGCATATTTTATACCTAAATATTAAATTACCATTTCCGCTTTTCTTGAAATTATTTTTATTTTATTTTAAAATCAAATGTTTATTTTAATAAAAAATCGAATCTCGATTTTATGTTCATCTATTGGGGACGGAAAAAGGCTTATTGTTAGCTAAAACTTGGATATACATGGAATATCCTCGATCTCCTCGCCGTCCTTCTCAACATACTATTAAAATTGTACATCGAGTATCCTTAATTTGTTCTGTTATTTATTTAGCCATTATTTTTTCCTTGATTTAGATAAAAAAAATTTTAACTATTTTTTATCTGTATTTATTCAATTTATTTTGAATAATTTTAAAAAATTATAAAATAAATAATTTTTGTTTTTTTATTAATTTTACTTCCAGAAATTTATTTTCTTTTTATTATTATTTTACCTACCTATATTTTCTTTATTATTTTAAACGATTTTATTTTTTTATAAAAATATATTTACGTAATTCCTGTTTTTTTTTTAAATAATTTTTAATAAATAAATATTTATTTAATAATCCTTAGCCTTTTTTCTCTAATTTTTACTGCCACACACACACTAAAACTGTTCAAATAAATTTTTAAAAATTTTTTATCTTTTCCATTATTGGATAAAAATTTTTATTTTTTAATTAAATTATTTAAAAAAGATTTTTTTAATTATTAAAAAAATTTTTAGATTTTATTTCCTCATTTTTTCAAAGTTAAATTAATTAATCGATTTACTTAATTTACTTGTTAACCGGTACCTCCGATTTTCGGTTAATCTAAATTTTAAAACACGTTATCGGTTTTGAGTTTTAGACAAATACTGCTTTTATTTTGGGGGAATTTAAAAAAATCATTCATTTTTATGAATTTCTGGTTTTTAGTTTTTAGAATTTCATAAAAACGGTTTAATTTTTGGCAAAAATTCAAAAATTTCAGTTTTAAAACCGGTCGTGAATAACCCTAGTTTTAACAACTATCACCCTATACCAAATACCTCTAAATACATTTTATGAAATCTGGTCTTCTTCGATCTCGAGATTTATTTATAAATAAGATCCGACGTTCAAATAATCTTGTTCCTTTTATTTTTGAAAATTCTTCCGGCTCTATATCCTCCGAGTCGTTTGATAAAACTTTAAATATAGCGAGATAAGAAAAATTTTTTAAAGATTTTTAATTTTTTAAAGAAAAAAAAGAAATATTGAATTTTTAATTACAAATTATTTGCTAAATATTACTTAAAATATTTATACATATGAGAATATTCTGTTTATTTTCTAATCCATATTTTATTTTTAATAACAAGTAATTAAATATCCGCTCAGCTTTTGCAAGCACAAATTTAAAAAATTAAACAATAAAAAAATCTTTTAAAATAAATACTAGGGTTGTTAACTACCGTCTATTAACCAATACCCCCGGTTTTCTGTTTTGATTGGTTTTTGACCCGCGGTTTTCGTTTTCGTGGTTCGGTTAACCGACCGTGAACTACCCTAATACATACCTTAAATAATAATTAATTTTTAGTAAAGAAATGGACGAAAATAATTTATTACAAATACACAAAAATAATTATTTAATTACATCGACAACAACCACAACAACTCAATCCCCTTTATTATTTTTATCAGAAGGAGATCAACAACAACAACAACCTTTAGATACTTGGCGTGTTCCTCCCTCACTTTTTGCTGTTTTTGCATTCTTCTATGCAGCTGTATTTTTTGGAGGATTTGTTGGAAATATGTTTGTTGTTGTTGCTATTGCAACACATAAATCTTTGAGGACGGGGACTGATTGGATTTTTGTGGCATCTTTGGCTGTAAATTTTTGATAAATTAAAATAATTTAACTGATAAACCGCATCATTCTAAATACCCCAAATTACTCTATATTTAAGCTACACCTGATTATAAGTAGAGATAGGCTTGGGAGTGTTGTACGAGAATCGAGATTTCGAAAATTTCTCGATCTTGATAACTGAGATTTTTAATCGGGATCTCGTCTCGATCCGGTCTCTAATTAGGTATAAGATGCAATTCCTTCAGCCTTAAGGAACATACTATCTATCCTAAAATGAGGGTTGACTGTACTGTATTAAATTCTAAAATATTTTTTTGATTTTTATTTTAATTTCAAGTTTGCTGATCTCCTAATTCTTCTCATTTGCCTTCCAAGTACTTTATTAAACAATGTATTGACTGGTAAAAATTTTTAAAAATTCAAAATTTTAATTACCTATACTCTAGAATGGCAACTAGGATCTTTTGGTTGTAAACTATCTGTTTGGCTAAATTCTACAACTTCTTGTGCTTCTATATTTACTCTTGTTGGGGTGACTGGAGAGAGATATTTGGTAAAAAATTAATTACAGTTCTAAGCTCGTTCTTAGTTACTCCCTTAGGATTGAAAAGTCATACCTTATAATGAGGGGTGCCTTAAATAGAGAACAACATTTAGTTAGCCCTTCACCCACAGACCAACTAAATTTTTAAGACCCTTATCTAAAATTAGGTATATCTAGTACGCCAGGCTAACGCATCGCAGAGCTATAACTTCGTTCAAAATAGCCGAATCCGTGACCCTTGGTATGGTTATATGCATCTCGACGAGCTGAATCGAACCATTTCAGGGTGTCTCGGATTCGACCATTTTGTACGAAGTTATAGCTCTGCGGTACGTTGGCCTCGCGGTACGTTGAGGTGTACCCATCTAGTAAATATTGGGTATATCTAAAAATGAGAGCTGTTTTCCTTAAAAATAATTTTAATTTCATAATTTTTAAGGCAATATGTCATCCATTAAAACAATTAAAAATGAAAAGTTCCCATTTACAATTTTATATAGTCGGAATATGGCTATTAAGTGGAGCATTAGCATCTCCTAATTTATGGGTTTATAGAGAAATTCTTTATGATTTACTATCTGGAAGTGAAAGTATTAATTTAAATGAGGGTTAATTGCTAGATTGTGTGTAGATACTTCTGCAAATTTTTGGTTATTTATTGTTATTAATTTGGTAATTTTGTTTTTTATTTAAAATTAAATAAACTATATTTTTGGGTATAAATTTCTTAAGGCCAGAAGTTCTTTGAAAAAATCCAAAAAAAATTTTAATCTAAGGATTGAATATATCAGAAAGTCAATTCAATCCAATTTCTATTTTCTTGTCGTTTACTCTGGAACCTGGAGGTCAGAGAACCTCCAGGTTCAGAGGTCAGAGAACCTCCAGGTTCAGAGGTCAGAGGACCTCTGGCCTTCAGAAATTAACATTACCAATTCTTATATTTTCATAGCAAATATTTGGATAAAAATTAATTATTTTGGAAACGGCAATAATCACTTAATTATTCCAAAGTATACCCTTATAATTCAAAACCTCACCTTTTCAAGTATCCATTTTATCCTCACTTCTTCCTATCTCATTTAAAAATACCTTAGGGGTGAGTCGGTTTGAGAAAGAGTCCGAGTTTCGGGTAACTCGACTCATCTCTTGTGCATCAATTCCATCTTATTTTTGAATTTTTTGTTAGGAATATTCCAAAATCCCCCCCCCTCTCCATGGGGGAATAATAACTTTATATATTATCTAAACAATAGGTAGTCTCTCATTCAAGTAGAGTTGGACAAAACGATATTGGTATCGGCCAACCCGAGACCGAGATTGACCGATACTCAAGAACCCGATACCGAGACCGATACCAACATTTTGAGCCGAGACCGATACCGAGAAACGATACTGACCGAGTCTAACAGAAACTTTTATTTTACATCAAAAAATACGTGTAAAAATAATTTATTCATTATTTTCATCATCCAAATCATCAGATAAATACTCTTCATCATCTGGATCCGATCAGGCTTGGCAATGGATATAAATTTTTGTGTCCGTATCCAATTTTCAGCGCTGCAGGCAAAAATTTGAGAATTTTGGAAGGCCATGAAGTCAGCGCGCTCATCTCTGCTTCCGATCATTTTAAATCCCCTTAATTCACTGGTGGGAACAACAGTTGCCAAAAATAGGAAGGCTCTGTAATCAAAATCTTGAAAATCTAACCCGAGGGCTCGGAAAATTCAACATTTCAGCGACGCAGACGAAAATTTATTAAATTTTGGAAGGCCAAGTCACCAAATTTCTTCCTTTTTCAGCGCCGCAGGCGAAAATTTTTTGAATTTTAGAAGAACTTATTCGAAAAAAACACTTTCTATGTTATGGACGGATATCCGAAAAAATTATGGACGAAAACTTGGACAATATTGAGGGTTTTGTTTCTTTGAGTCAGTATCGTTTCTCGCCGAGAAATGGACCGAGAATATCGGTATCGGTTTCGAGACCGAGAATGAAAAAACCGAGACCGATATTGGAAAAAAGCCGAGAATCTCGTTATCGGTCTCGGTATCGGTCTCGTCCTGTCCAACTCTACATTCAAGTGAATAATAAAAATAAATTCTAATTTTACCCAAAATTTTTTCTTCAGTTAATTGCCTTCCTCGTTCCCATCATTATAATCTCATTCTTGTATTTCTGCATTTTTCGAGTTATTTCAAGACACACCGAAAAGCGGCTTGCAGTTGATAATGGTGCTCGAGTTCGTGATGAAAGGGTTAAATTACGTATTGCCCAAATGATGTTTACGGTAAATTTTTTGTTTAAAAAAATTTTCGAAATTTAAAATTAAAAAGGTTATTGTTGTATTTGTTTTATGTTGGACACCTTTGTATGGTCTTTACTGTTATTTTTTTCTGTCAGATGATAAAGATTCTTCATTTTTTCAATTTGCTTCTTCTGTTCTTCGGCCAATATTTCAGGCAATTTTTTTATCTAGATTTTGTCAAACCTTACTATAAACCTCACATTTCTTCAGCCCCTTCTCCCTTACAACTTAGAGGGAAAATGAGAATGGCACTAAAATAGGTGGTATTGCTAACATTAAGCTGACAATATATCAAGGATGGGCCGAGTTACCCAAACTTTGTCCCAAACCCCGATCCAAAATAATTTTGGAACACCTGAAACCTCGCCCGACTTTTTTATTCTCAACTCAGTCCCTCCCTGCTCTATATCCACTAGTTAGTCAAATTTAAAACAGGCATCCTAAATTTAGGTTTATAATTATGTATTAGGTTATCCCTTGCTTAGTGAAGTCCGATTATAACATAATTTTAATTTTTAAATTAAAAATTTCAGTGGCTTTCTTTACTCTCTTCCTCCCTCAATCCCCTCATTTACATCTGTTTTTCTCAAAAATATCGTCGAGCATTTCATCAATTACTTTTACTTCCTTGCCGAAAAAGATATAGAAAAATTCAACGTGCTACAAGAAATACTTTTAGATTGAATAGTTCTGCTGCTTGTTCTGAACGCCCATCGTCTGCGACTCATTTACTTCTACAAAATTCTGCAAAATGTAAAAATAGGATTTTTCAGAAATATACAGTCAAACCACGGTTTTAGATACTTTCAAAATTAGAAAAACCTTATTTAAGATACCGTAAAATCTCTAATATAATGCCACCCTCCAATAGAATGCCACCCTCTAATGGAATGCCACCTTGGAGGGTGAGTGAAAAATAGAATGCCATGGCATTCTATTAGAGATTTTACGGTACTTTTTTTAATTTGGTTAGCGATGGTTGGGCGAAGATGCCTAAACAATACCTTTAATTTAAGGTACCCTTAATATAAGGTACTATTTTTTCAACACAAAGGGATATCTAAAAGTGGGGACTGATTGGATATTGAAAGAAAAATAAATTTATTTTTGAATTAACAATTAAAAAAAAATTTTTTTCTTTAAAGCTAACGGCCATTTGCCCCTCTCTAAAGGCCATTCTTATACCTCAGCAACATTAAAACCAAATAATAGATTAGCTAGAGGAAGTTTAGATGTTAATATGTTCACAAATTGTAATAATAATAAACTTGATATTAATTTAAATCAAAGAAGACCGAGTTCTGCCGTTGTTACTTCCGCTAATTTTAGTGATATTTTAATATCTCCGATACAACAACAAAAATGGAGAAGAAAGGAATCAGAACAAATAAATGAAGAAAATAAAAGTGGAAATTGTTCTTCACAAATTCTGGTAAAAATAGATAAAAATATTTGTAGAGATGCATTAAAAATACAATTCTGATTTTGAAAAAAATCAGAATTTTTATTCTCATAATTTTTGGAAAACATCAGAATTCTGATTTTCAAAATTTTTTATTTTTCAGAATTTCTGAAAAAAAATAAATTCTGATTTTCAGAATTTCTGAAAATTCAGAATTTCAGTATTCAGAATTTCTGAAAAATCAGAATTTTAATTTTCAGAATTTCTGAAAATTCAGAATTTTAATTTTCAGAATTTCTAAAAAATCAGAATTTTTATTCTCAGAATTTCTGAAGAAAAGATAGAAATCAGAATTTCTTTATAATCAAAACACAATCAGAATTTAATTTGCTTTTTATTAAATCAGAATAATATAATCAGAATTTTCATTTATAGTTGGAAGAGAGTAAGGAAAATAGTGAACTACAGCACATACCAGAATCAAAAAAAGAACCAGAAGAAAATTCTGTTGAAATAAAAATTAAAACTTATGAAAAAGAAATAAATACAAAACAATTAAAATTAACTCAACAAAACGGAAATTTAATTAATTCTGAAAAATCAAAAAAAGAAAATAATGAAGAGGAAATTATTAAACCTGATGTTCGGCAATTGAATACTTTAATTTTTACTTTATAATTTTTATTTTTTTTTGTATATATTTTTTGTATGTAGATATAAATATTAAAATTTTATTTATAGTTAAAAAAAATAATTTTGATTATTCCCTCATTATAAGCTATGGGGAGTATATGGGAGTATATATTAATGGGAGAATAGCTATGGAGATGAACACTAAGGAGTGTCTAAAATCTGATTATATTTTAAAGAATTTTCTTTTGACTGTACTATAGTTTAACGGATGATGTTCGAAACACAAAATTCGATGAGCCGAGTCGAACGGTTAATACTTTTTATTCATGAATTATTTCTGAAAATATTATGACAAAATTGATTTTCTGAAGAAATGTACTATTTTCTACGTGGAATTAAAAAATAGGAAATTACAAATAAAAAAATTAAAAAATATGTATTTTTAAATAAATAAAAATAAACATACTATTTATTACATAATTTTACGATTAAATGTTAAGAAAAGGAGAGAGAATACGGACTACAATACATAGTAGTTTGGTGTTTTTTTCAATTCCAACAACAATTTTTATAAAAATATTATAAAAAACTTAAATATAGAAAAGTGAAGAATTAAAAATAAATATGAAAGTATCGATATAATGAATTTTAAAATAAATATGAATAATAAATTAAGATTCCATTAATCTTTTTTGTTTCATTAATCCAATCTACTTGATGAGTTCTTTCGAATGATTAAATAACTCACTTAAGCAAAAAATACAAGGCTAATCTAAAAAAACCTTTGAAGAGCTTGGAAAGGCTTGATAACCTTTGAAAAGCTTGATAATAAATAATTCTCCTTTAATTGTTTATTATCATGTCGATAAATAATCACTACATGTATGTGTTCAAAAATCCAACACACAAATTTATATTATAATTTTTATTATTTATTTTTTAATAAAGAAGTAAGAGGCTTTAAAAGCAATAAATGACAACATCAAAATTAATACTTTTGAATATTCTTTATTTTTATTTAAAAATACCAAAAAATATATATTTAATTTAATCTTATAAATGTATTTACTAATTAATTTATTATTTATTTTAATTAAATTAATTAATTCCCAAGATTTATTTACATCTTCTGCAGAATTACAGCAATTAGTACATGTAGAAAAAAAAATTCCAAAAATTATAGAAAATTATATTTTATTAGAAAATAAGCGTTTAGATAATTTAAAAAGGTTTTCTAATTACATAGTAGAGTTGTGTTGCATTTAATTAATATTTTAAAAAAATAATAATAAATTTAATAGGGGTAGTTAAAATTTAAATATTCTATATCCTTAATGGGAATACTAATTTTAATTAAATACAGTAATTGTTGTAGAGAATGGGTCTGAATCCCTCAATATCTCCTACAAAATAAAATTAATCTATAAAAAAGTCTGGTCGGATTTTGGTTCGAAAAGGCCCATGTCCCGAGTGGGCTAACTAACCCAAAATCCCGATACAGTTTTGGCCAATACCGATCCCGAGGTCGGTATCGGGATCGGTATCATCATTCAATAATACCGATTTTAGGTCGGAATCCCGATACCGGCCAACTCTAGTTAGGGTAACCCCGATTTCTGGTAGGGAAACTATGGAGATATTCTATAATATTATTTTATAAAGATTGTTCCAAATAATTAATTTATAAATAATTTTCTAGTATAGCAAATAAATATTTAAAAGAAGAAAGTGAATTATTTGAATTAGAACCAAAAAGTGTTTTAAATCCTTTAATTGCTCTTAGAGTAATCAAAAAATTAACAAAATCTTGGAAAGAAATTAAAAAAGAAATTCAATCAGATTTGGCTGAAAATTATTTAAAAAATATTTCAAATCAAAGAGAAACTCGTTTTCCTAATGAGGTGGGCATTTTTTTACTTTTTTAAATTAAAAGAGGTGACTGAGGGGAGAGGTTTAAGAAGTGCTTGGGGATTACTAAACTGCTATAAGAAGAGGTAAAAAAGGAGTACTCTAACTTGGTAGAAAGTAAATCTGTGGTAGGAAAATGTATTTTTGTGGTCGCGTGCCAGTAGTAATGTTAATTAATTACCAGTCCGGTATTAGAGATAGGACCGCAAAAGTACCAAATCGTGCCTAAAACTAATTTTGAGCAGGTTCTTAAAATAGAGGCAAACCAAAAATCGGGAAAAGTGAAAAAAATGAGAGCTGTATGGGAGCTGTAAAACTATTTTTCCTATCGTAACAATATTTTATTTTTTTGTTTAAAAAGGATGATTTAAATGGAGCAATTAAAGGATTACTACGTTTACAAGATACTTATAAATTAAAAACTAATGATTTAGCTAATGGAATTGTTGAGGATATTAATATAAACAAACAAATGGATGGTAAATATTTTTTGATTTTAAATTGTAAAAATATTTAATTAAGCAAAAGATTGTTATGAAATAGGTCTGGCTGCATATAATGAAGAGGTTAAAAGTTATTGCATTTGAAGATCCTAAAATTTTCGCATGCGTCGCTAAATGAGAGATTTCTGAGAGCTGTAATGCCTCCTTGGGTACTAGAACAGAAAAAATTACAAAATTTGGAAATTATAAAGTGAGAGGATTTGTTGAGAGAAAAGCCACCTAATTCCCAATACCCAGCACTGCTTATTGGCCTTCCAAAAAATTTCGCCTACGACGCAAAGATGAGAATCGTTGACAATTATTAAAGCTCTCTCCTACTGATACCAAGCAGGGGTGGCATTGCGTTTTTTGAGATCGTTTCTTGTGCTCCATGATACTAAGCATAATTATTAGTTTGTGGGTTATTTCAACTTGCAGATTATGGATGATAAAATCCATTTATGTCCACACCAGAGAGGGCCACGTCCCTAAACCCCGACAAGAACCCCGGTCAATCAGATAAAATCCAAAGAAATACGCGGTTAATTTAATTAAAAAAAGGATTATTATCACTCAATATTATGGATGGAAGAAGCAAATGAACGTTATTATTTACTCGAAAAAGAATTTAGAGAAATTAACAAATCAGATATTTTAAATATTTTGTCAATTTCTTTATATAAACAAGGAAATTTAAAGAGAGCTTTAATTATTAATGATAAATTAATTGAATTAGGTAATTACTGAAAATTAAATTAAAAATAAATATTTAAAAAAAGATCCTTTATATCCAAATGCAACAAATAATTCAAAATTATATGAACAAGAATTATTGGCTAATGGAGTTGTTGAAGAAGATTTTCGTTTAAATATACCTCCATTAAATAATTATAGATCATTAAACGATTCATACCATCATTTTGTTGATCGTTTGGCTTATGAAGAACTCTGTCGTGAAGAAAATGAAATTGTTTGTTAATTGGAATTAATTAAAACAAATTTTCCTTTAATTTTTAGAATCTAACACAAATATCCAAACTTTATTGTTATTACAAAATGGATCGCCCATTCCTTCGTTTAGCCCCAATTAAAGTTGAAATTATTCGATTCGAACCCTTAGCTGTTATATTTCGTAATGTTGTATTTGATGAAGAAATTGAAATAATGCAGAATATATCATTACCAAAATTATTTATATCTCCGTTTGGAAGAAACAATAGTTCCAAATTTAGAATTAGCAAAGGGTCTTATTTGAAATAATCTAGGTACTTACCTAATTATTTTTAATTTTAAGTGTTGGGATTAATGCAAGAGACCATTCAATTGTGTTACAAATAGCCAAACGTTTGAAATTAATGACTAATTTAAATATGATGTCAGCTGAAGGTTTACAAGTAAAATAATAATTTTTAAAGGTTTAAAAAAAGTTTCATTTTAAAGGTGGCAAATTATGGAATTGGTGGATATGTTGAACCCCATTTTGATTTTCCTACTAAGGTTGGCGGTAACAGTGATGCGTAATTTCAGAATTGCCTTGGTACCATCCTTAATTTTGCGGCGCTGTAAGCTAAAAAAATCACTTTTTAACAGTGCAAACGAAAGTTTTAAGAATTTTGGAGAAGGACCAAAAGCCTATAATTCATCCATTTAAAAAATAAATTTTTAAAAACAGAATTATTGGATGGCTGATGATTTGGAGTAATATCGGAGATACAAGGCGATTATGAATGATATAAGAGGATTTAGAGGGAGGACTTAGAGGGATAAATTTTCCCTATTTTAGTCTTTGGAAAGGGTCACCCCGGATCAAGGGGGTTTAACGAGATAGTGGGGGATTAAGGAGTTTATCATGGAATTTGAAGGGATCATGTAGAGTCTAAGAATTCCATGGGACAAATACTGCCGCCCAATCTACCGCTGACAGTTTTTCCAACAACGGGAGAAAGTTTTTCCAACTATTAAGGATGTTGTTACAATTAGGAATAAATCGGAGAGGTTGTTCCAATGACAGGAGAAGTTGTTTCAACTATAGGATAAGTTGTTCGACCAACGGGGAAGTTGATCCGAGAACTGGGAAATTCTGTTCCAAAAACGTGAAGTTGTTCCAATCAAGGTTTTGACAGAAATGACGAAGTTGCAGGAAATAGAAACTGTCGGAACTTAGAAATTTTTGCAAAATTTAAGAGCTTGGAAATTGGAAGAAAAAACTTCGGAAATCGGAAGTTCCAACAAAGTAAAGGTGTTCCATAAACGGGTGAAGTTGCTTAGCATAGAGGAATGTCGACGGTAATCTGGGAGCGAGGTAGGTTGGGAGGCGGTAGGTTTGGGTGTACCCAAGTTTTTGTAAGTTCAGACGGTCAAGAAGGCAGAATTCCCCATTTTAATGAAAAAAAGATATAAGTAGAAATGTTAAAAAAATATCGAAGGTAATCGAAAATGAAAATTTTTAAAATCGAAATTTTGGTATAACATAAAAATACATATTAGAAATTTTAATAAAAATATATATTTGTTAGGATAAAGAAGGTTCAAATCCATCCATGGATATTGCATATAGAATTGTGACAGTCCTTTTTTATTTAAGTACACCAGAAAAGGGTGGATATACAGTTTTAAATAATGTAAAAACAATTGCTAAATCAACTAAGCATGATGCTCTTTTTTGGTATAATTTGTGGAGAAACGGAGATAGAGATTTAAGAACTATGTTTGGTTTTCTTTAAATAAATATTTATTACTTATTTAGGCATGCATCTTGCCCTGTTTTGCTTGGCGAAAAATGGTTCATGATTTCGTGGATACGCGAAATAGGGCAAGAATTTTTTCGTCCTTGTGGTTTAGATCCATCAATACAAGAACGCTATGTTGGTGATTTGGGAGGCCCAGAACCTAAAAATTATCCAAATTTATCACCATATTGTAAAGAAGGAGTATATTGTGAATGAAAATAATTGTGATATTTATTTATTGTGATATTTTAAAATATTTTAGTTATGAATTTTTATTAATTTTTTATGTTTATTTTTTTGATCTACATCTAGAGGAAGTTTATTTTAGAGAGGTGGGGCTTATTTGGAGGTGTGGGGCTTATTTGGAGGAGGGGGGCTTATTTTAGATTTATCTTCTAATCACTCTTAATCGGCAAATTAAGAGATTATCAGGGATAACGGGGAAATGTGGGGCCCAGAACGGATCCAAATTCGGATCCAAGATTTGCAGTTAAACTGGATTAGATCCGGCCGGACATTTTCTTAATTAACCCTATCTGAAAAAATTTAATTTTTTAAATAATGCTAATTTAAATTCTTCTGTTAAAAATTTTTCATCTTCTTTTAAATCTTTAAAATTGGGAATTACCTAATGTTGCGGCCAATTTCTATTTTGTATCCGGCAAAATTTAATTGTGAACTCTGTTAAGTAGGTTGAAAAATATAAGCTTAGTCTCTTAATATAAGCCAACTCAGAGTGATCTATTGAAGAAGCTAAGCCCAGTGCTTTATTAGATGATTTACGGTATTTTAAAATATTATTCAAATCAATTGTAATTAAATAACAAACCATTTTTATCAAATATTAATTTTTAAAAAATTTATAAGGTACAACAAACATTATATAAAAAATATTTTATATTTTGAGGTGTTAAAATTAAAAATTTTGAAGGTAATAACAATAAAACTTAATTATATTTTTCGTTTAAAAAAACAAACACTACGTGAGGTTTTTTTAAAATTAATTACAGTCAACTCTCTCTCTCTCTACTAACTGTCTGTTAACTTCTATTTTATGTTGATTTTCAGTCTATCGAGATTTTCCCACTAAATGAGACATGGAATTTCTGTAAAATTTTTCTAATGTTGGGACTAACAAATTTTTTACAGTGAACTATCTTTTATGAAGGTCAAAAATGAAATTAGGTATTCCTTTATAAAATTTAATCCAGAAAAAATCCAGGAAATTTGTATTTATTATGATAATTATCTATTGGTTGGTCTAAAAACACCTTTTAAGTTTAACAGACCAAATGTATTTTAAAAATTCCACAAAATATGGGAGGACGTATAAATTTGTTGAGAGTAGCTAGAAGGGTAGTGCGAAACTTGCGGACCGACTTTTGCGGACCAGGGGTTTATGTTTTTGTTTTTCTATCGTAACTTTGTTCAAGCTTGTACAATCACGATGATTTTGATGTCATTCGACTCAGCTCGTCGAGCTCTTTCAAATGAGCTATGTTTCGAGAAATTCGTCGGGTCCGCAAGTTTTTGTTCGCAAAAGTCGGTCCGCAAGTTTCGGCCAGCCGCTAGAAGCTTTCATTATAAAAAATCTTTTCTTCGTTTACATATTTTCACTAAATAAAAATTATTAAATTAATTTTGGTAGATAAAGTTGACTGTTTTTTGATAATAAAAATTATAAAAAATAATAAATATTTACCGATTAATATACCCATAAATTTAAATATTCCCTTGTCAATCTTCATTTAAAGCATTATCAATTGTATTAAAAAATGTATTTAAAATTCCGTCTCCAAAAATATTTTTTGATTTAATTTCTTTTGAAATTTCTTCTGAGCGTTTTAATAAACTTTTTTCTCTGAAAATTTTTTTGATTATTTTTTTATTGAAAAAAATAAAATCTCTGTAAAAGCACAACTTGTATTTTTAAAAAATGCCTAGTTGGTAGAGACGTTCTGTCCGCATTCCAAAAATTTTCCAAGACTCAAGACCAAGATTAGGCCCCAAGACCAAGACCATAAAAAAACTAAGAAGTCTTGGAATCGAGATTCAAGACCAAGAGTCTAGGACGTCTCGTTGGTTCGACGCCTAGCTTTACGTTTCATTAAATATTTAGTTTTTTTGTAAATTCTAATCTGATGATGTATTTAGGACTTATACCAAAAAAGTCCGAATTCCAAAAATCTTACACATCCGCAAAAAAAATTTAAAAACTTAGTCGCTTTCAAAAACCCTCCCTGACCCCCACGGCTATCAATCCTATTTTTTCTAAATTTTTTTGATTTAATTAAAAAATAAATTTACTTAAATATAATATTCAATATATTTCCAAATTCCTTAATTATTTTATCCATTTCTATCCATTTAGCAATACCCAAATATTCCCCAGTAAAAGCATTATATTTTTCTTCAGGCATTTTAGGAAAACAAATTAATGGAATACCAACAAACATGGCCTTTAATTTAAAATTATTTTTGTTAATTTATAAAATTATTTTTAACCTCGTTAAAATTTTTAAATTCACAATCACAAATAAATGCACGCATTCCTGTTTTTCCTTTGAAAAAATTTTTTTAATATTTTTTGGCCAAAAGGATACTAAGGACCAGGGTTGCCGTTTTCGAGTTGGTCCCACGTTCGAGTCATCTTTTTGGGCCTCATTTTTATCGGGCCGGCCCAACCGAGTCTTTTTGCGGGCCAAAATTCGATGCCCGACTCGATCTTTCGGACCGGACCGGGAATCGGCAACACTACTAAAGGCTGACACTTAATTTAGGCTCTTTTCCGAAACTAACAAAAAAAATTTTTAACAGAAAATATGATTTTTAATTTTGTTTATTGCAAAATATTATAGGGTTCTTGGTGGTTCGTTTGCTATATTAAAAGCCATTGGGTTTAAAATTGGTTTGTTAAGGACTACTCTGAGCTAATGGACTGGCACTTTATTTGGGCTCTTTTCCTTGTCGCTGTCGTCCCTTTTTCATCCATCCTACATATCCTCAATTCCCGAGTCTTCACTATTATTTTTATTGGTAAAGCTGTTGTTTAAATGTTGTCTATTTAATTTTTATATTAGGAAATCAACAAATATGTATGTATTGCTTTAAAAATTGCTTAAAATCAATCCTCATCCCTTTCCCCTAATTTTTTATTTGAAACTTATTTTATGTACCAAAATATTCTTTTTGTAACTTATCAATTTCGTCTTTATCAACTTGATGTAATTTAATATTTTTTAATTTATTTTTTGGAATTAATATTTGATTTTTATCAATTAAAACAATTAATTTACAAAATTTTGGTTTTTTATTGTATTTCAAAAATAAATTAAAAATTTTGTTAATTATTTTTTTATTTATATAAGAATTGTCGAAATAATTAATTTTCCATAAAATAAAACATTCCTTAAAAATATAATTTTTAATTGCGTATTTACTCGATTAATTCCTCTGGGGAATTAATATTTCAACATATCCGTGGCATAGGGAATTATTTGAGGGATGGGAATTATTCGAGTAAATACGCTAGATTATTTACCTATTTATATTTATAAAAGTTTATTGGTATTTTTGAGGAATTTTTTTTAATTATTGTAGTCTAACAAAAAAATTTTTGAGGAATTTTCTGAATTTTATGTCATTTTTACTACTTGTTTTCTCTTTTAAAAATAGTCAGGGATAGCCAAAAATTAAAAAATAATAAAAGGCAGCAGCGGCCTTTTATTTATCGAGTTCTGAGTTGATTTTCTTTGAATAAGGGTTAACCCTCGGCTCGGTGTTCTATTATGC